CCACTCCCAAGGTTTTTCCCAGCTCCCAGCTGGGGACACAGACCTTTTTCCTTTGGATTTTATCGTGCACCACCCTCTCATGGTGGCACCAAGGATTCTAAAGCCAATTGTCCCCTCTGCCCGTGTCCCCTTGAGCGTTGCTGTTGGGAACACCGCTATTTTTAATCCCATGAAGCGATCCTGAAGGACAGAGGCTATTTTTGCTGCCTGGGGCTCATCCCTTCCTTCCAACCTCACCCAGTGCTCTGCAGGGTCAGGCACCGTGGGATCAGGGTCAGGGACCATCCAACCATACTCTGTGGGGCTGGGGGCTGCTGGTGGGCAGCGCTCTGCGCTCCCCATACCACGGCCAAACCCCATATCCCAGGCACGGGGCCGTGGCCAAACCCCACAGCCATAACCAGTTCTGAATTGGGGCCGTGCTCCTTTGGGTGGGTTTTCCAGGATGGGAGGATGGAGGTGGCGGAGGTGATAGGGCTGCCTTTCCCATGGGCGTTGCGGGGCCAGAAGGACATGGGAGCAGCCGGGCAGAGCGGGACGCAGGTGTGGGGCACGGCCTGGAGGGAAGGGTGGGATGCGGGGGGCACATCTGGCAGTGGGGGGGCAGGAAGCCCTCTCGGCAGCCTTGGGGTCCCGGGGGGCCACAGTGCTGCCAGATGTTGTGCAGCTGTCTGCAGCATTTCCTCCCACCCCACACCCTCCAGGAAGGCCCCCCCGGCCCCACATCACTCTCCTGCCCTCTTTCTTCTCCTGCCAAGCCATATTCTGGGGGTTGTGTCCTGCTGCTGGAGGGCACACAGCTCACCCCATGACTGGGCAGGGAGCGGGGAGCGGATGGAGGGGCTCTGGGCACCTTTTATTGCTCTTTCTTCTCTTGGAAGACCACATAGAACAAAAATGCATCCATTCTGCATTTTGCAACAATCCTGCATTCTGCATTTTCCATCACCATTCCCTCACCACTCGTAGGGTAATGTCACCAAACCCCTGGGTACTCATCCCCACAACCCTGGGGGAGATGCCTGGGGCTGCCAGCTCGCACCAGGATACAGATAGGATCTGGGGGATTAGAGCAGCTTAGGGAGCAGGGGGTTTGCAGGCAGCAGATGGTTCTGAATGGGTCCCAGGGTGAGGTAAGAGGGATGGGACACAGCCCTGGGTAGAGCAGGGCAGAAGATGGGAGGAGTGGATTTCCAGCCTATTTCCCGATGGGATGCTGCAAGGCTGGCCATGATGCCTTGCACTGTGAGGTCCTGGGCATGCGGTGCAACTATGGGAGTACATTCCATCCTTCACGTGCCCACTGCACCATGGTGGTGCATGGTGCCAATGGTGAGCAGAGCCCTGTGGGTGTACAAGGACTGTGGAACAAGGGACCGTAGGAGTGGGGACTCCAGGGCTGACTCTGTAGAGCTGGAGAGGGGCAATCCCCACTGCAGTGTTGCCCCAAATGCTGTCAGGGGAATTCCCAGTGCTGGGGGTGGAGAGGAGTTGTGTGAACTAGTTGAAAGTGTGACGTGGTGGAGAAAAGGGAGAAATCCCACAGTGGGGACATGGTGCTCAGGCAATCTCCATGCAGCCCCAGGGTTGTTTTGGGGGGGCAGCCACATGAGCCATGATAAGTGGATGGAAATTAAGGCTCTGTTTCCAGGAGGAGGTGTGAAACTAGCCCCAGAAGAAAAGTGAGAAGCTAAAACCTGTTTGCAGTCCTGCCCTGCGCTCCTGCTATGGAGTCCTGGGGCTCTGGGAGCCGTTTTGGCTAGGAAGAAGCTCAATGTTCAGATCCAATGGGACAGCCTTGCTGCTAGCTGGGGGTTCCCAACACAGCAGGAAAAATCGGGATCCAGCTCTGCCTGCATCCTCCCTACCCCATCCCTTCCCCAGTGATGTTTCAGAAAGAGGAAGTGTCACCTCTGGCATCCCCCTGCTGTGGCCCCGGGGTTATTTCGGGTGCTGAGAAAAGAGGAAGGCAGCACACGGTGACGGCAGGGCGAAGCCCTGCAGCATGCAGGGGATAGCAGTTGGTTTGGGAAAGATGATTGTCACCATCACTGCCAGCCCATGGCCCCAGTGCTGCCAAAGATGGGCTGAAGGAAGCGGATCCCTCCCATCTGAAGCACTCTGGGGCTTTTTTAGGTGCACAGGTGATGTACCCATGTAAATGCCAGCCTGGTATGGAGGATAGCAAGTCGCTTAGAGCCAACCAAGGAAGGACTGGGGCCAAAAAGGAGGCCAAGTGGGACAGGTTGCCAGGGAGCTGTAGTGGGGACATGGTGACAGCATGGTAGCACCTGCTCCTGGTGTGTGGGTGGATGGAGGAGTGGGAGAACACATGGATGGATGGGCAGATGGACACAGGGACAGATGGATGGGTGGGTGGAAGGACTAGTAGTTATATTAATGGATGGATGGAAGGATGGATGGATGGGGATGTGGCTATGGGGAGAGCAGTGGGGCGAAGAGCTGTCACTGCAGCATCAGGGTGGCCTCCTGCAGAGCACGGATCTCCAGTAGTGTCTTGAGCCTGGGAAACAGCAAGTAAAATGTGAGAGGGGCCCATCAGCCTTTGCAGGCTCGTTCCCTGCAGGGCTAATAGCCACCAGCTTAACAAGCGCGAGCCAGGACTGCTCCACTGGGCCCTTTCCAGCTGCAGGGAGGAGCGACAGCTAGAGCTTTGCAGTGGGCAGTGAAATCTAGGTCAGGGCTTTCTCTAAAAGGGGCACAGAGCCCAGCTTGTGTCAGCTTCCAACTGAAGCAGCAGAGCTGCAGCGCCTGCCTGAGCACGGAACAGCCGGGAAATGTCTGTGCCCTCCTGGGGTATCCAGGATTGGGGCAAACAGGAATGGTGAGGGCCTTGGGACACAGTTCCCTTTGCAGGGCTGGTCACAGCTTTCTGGCTTTGCTGGGAAACAGCCATGTTTTGTGACTCGGGCACTGTAAGCAACTTGCTGCCAGCGGACGTGTCTTTGCTGTGACACAAAGAGATGCCCAGGCACAGGTATGATGCTGCTTGCCCCCCAAACACAACACCCCTACAGCCATCACAGCCATCCACATCCCTCCCCACTGCCTCTGTGTGGGAGCCAGAGCAGCTCAGAGGGGGCATCAGAGATGGGAACTGACTCCAGGCTGACATTTCAAAAGAAAACCCCCATGAGAGTGAAAGTCCCAGCAGCAAAAGGAGAACTGGGGGCAGCATGGAGGGCATAAGCTGTGGCTGAAACCTCAGGAAAGCTCAGCTAGCAGCTTGGGGATGACAGCAGCCAGAGCCAGCCTCAGCCTCTGTTACAGGGAATCCAGCATGCTGCCTGCTGCCCCAAATTCCTGCCCTGCCCCACATCCTGGCCTTCACAGAGCCACAGCCGCTTTGAACAGCAGCAGCGATCCTGGAACAAGGAGGTTTTTTCCCACTCCAAAGACAGGGTTACTCTCTGTTTCCCCACCCCAATACACATGCAGGGCTTAGGATGGAGACTCAAATTGGCACTGGAATATGTTTAATTAAAATCCAGCGCTTGAAGGTACAGCAAAATTAGCAGTGGGAGCAGCGGGCGCTGGGAGGGCAATGTGGTGCTTCCCGTGGAGGCACACCCTGATGCTGGCAGCAGCAGGGCTGGAGCTGAATTGGTTTTTTGTTCCTGGCAGAGCTGTTGCAGCTCTCCCTGTGAGCCAGGCCCTGCGCCTCCTGCTGCCTCTGCTCCGGATTTCTATGTGGGCTCAACACTTGGATTTCCACAGAGCTCACCTTTGAAATCAGAGTAGTGCCAGACTCTGTATAACCCCCCTACATAAAAACAGCAACAAAAGAGTGAGCTTTCATCGTGCTCCCTGTTCTTTGCAGCAAAAGGAAGCACTCAGGGTGGCTGGGTGCTTTGTGATGTGGGTGCTGGGATGACCTGCTGAGCCCTCACTGGGTGTTTCCAGCAGCTCTCACCAATGCTAATTGCAAACCCTTTGCTCGGATGCGCAGCATGCACTGTTGGAAACAGCTCTGAAAAATTAATGCACGTTTCCCCATTTATATTCGCTTCCCTTTTCACGCTCATCTTGGGCAATGAAAATAGACCAGGTAGAAACAGCTCTGGAGATGAAAGTAGTTGTGACACAATTAGAACTAAGTGGGGTTTTCATTGGGGTGAGCTGCAGGATTTTTATCAGCGGAGCTACCCAGGGCTTCTCCAGCACACGGCTGAGGGCTTCCCCAAACCAGGCCAGAACCCCCATTGACACAGATGGGGGGTTTTGGCTCCAAGCCCACCAGCAGCCCCACAGACAGCAAAAGCAGAAGGCGAAGAGCCGCGGGCTGCAAGGAGCGCTGGCCGCGCGCTGTCCCTGCTATCGCTTCCCAAATTCAGTGCTGCTCACAGCAGGTGGGCACCTCCCTGCGGAAATCCCCGTGTTGGCGATGAGACGCATTCAGAGCTGTGGTCCCTGGGTTCATTTGGCTCACAGGGGGCTGAGAGGCACCGCAGCTCCTCACGGGGAGCGGAGAGGCAGCGCTGAGCTCTGCTTTCTGTGACAACGGGTAAGGCGTGGAGCTGCGCCAGGGGAGGTTGTGCCGAGCCGGGCCGAGCCGAGCCAACCGGTTGTGCCAACCGGGCCGAGCCCGGTGCTGCGGGCTGGGCCGGGCCGTACCAGGCCAAGGCCGTGCCGCTGCTGCCCCCTTCCCTCCAGCCGCCCGCACAGCACCGCCGCTCCGAGCCCTCCGCCCCTATGACGCCATTTCATCCCCTTCTCGCTGACGTCACCCGCCGCCGTTTCCGCTGGCGGAAGGCGGAGGCCGAGGAAAAGCGGGGAGGGAGGAACGTGGCGCCGTTGCCATGGCGACGCGGCGTGTGACGTCATCTCTCTGCGCATCTCCCGGAAATGGGCGGGCGGCGCGGGGTGATTGCGTCACAGGGTGTGGAGGCGGTGGCTGAACGGGTCCGGGGCGCCGCCATGGAGAGCGCGGGTCAGGGTAGGGGCGGCTGCGCTTCGGGGCCGGGCGGTGGGCTGGGAGTTGCTGGGGGAACGGGGGACGCCCCGGGGAGTTCCGTGACGGGCGGGCTGTGAGGCTGCCGGGCGGGCGCTCGGAGGCGGCTCTTCCCCTCCCGCAGGCCGGCGCTGTGCGATAACCGCTCTGCTCGGTCTGCGGAGCGGCGCTTCTGTTGTGTCCGGGCTTGGGAAATTCGGCTGAGAGTTTCTGTTCCTTTTTTTGTCTGCGAGCAGAGGGCCCTTTTCTTCACCTTTCCCCTCCAGGTTTGCATATCGTGCTTCGCTTGCTGGCTGCTCACTATATGTGCCCTGTGTTCTCGTCTGTGACAGATATCAACCTTAACTCTCCCAACAAAGGTCTGCTGTCGGATGCTATGATGGACGTTCCTGTGGACAGCGCGGCCGCGGCGAGGACGGCAGCGCCCGAGGGGCTGAGCGCTGCTGAGGAGGAGGAGCTGAGGGCTGAGATTGCCAAGGTAAAACCTGAGCCCGGGATCCTGCCCTGCTGGGAGGGAAAAACGAGGGTTTGGTGGATGTGTTTTTTGATTCTTATCACAGAAATAGCTCAGGTTGGAAGGGACCTCAAGGATCGTGAATCTCCAACCCCCCTGCCACGTGCAGGGCCACCAACCTCCACATTTAATACCAGGCCAGGCTGCCCAGGGCCCCATCCAACCTGGCCTTGAACACCACCAGGGACAGAGCATCCACAGCATCTTTGGGCAGCTGTTCCAGCACCTCACCACTCTCATCATAAAGGAAAAACTTAGGGTGGTATTACCTGCGGATCTCTGTGCTCTTTGTTAAAATGCACAAAGCTGACAGGTATTTCAGACCACATGTTATTGCCTGCTCATCCACAGAACGGCTTAATGTGGAGCCCTAAAGAAATAAGTGGCTTAATTTAGGCTTTTAGCTCTGCTCTAAGCAGGAAAACAGCACTTTAGGTGAGCAGTATGCAAACGTAACTCCTTTTTCCTTAGGAAGCTGAAACAATGAAGTACTTAATGTGCTTTCTTCTTCTGCCTTTTCTCTTAAATATTTATCACATTTTATGGGTGGCTGTTTTAGATTCCTTTATGCTTTTCTAAAGTTGAGAGCTTTTAGTGTAATATCTCAACTTTTAGGCACCCTCTGGGTTTTAAAGTTCAGTTTATTATTTGTATGTGTAATACAGCTGAAGGTAGTTTTGGTTGTTCTTTCTTACACTTGATAATCTCATGCTGGTTCTCTGGTTTGCATGTTGTAGCAAGGGAGGATTTCACTGTTCTGAATGGCCATGCAGGCCTTGGTGAACTCTGATTAATTAAGAAGTAGGAATGAATTCTCTCTGCCCTGAAACCACTCCGGAGTATTCTGAAAATCTTGGAAGAAAGATCTCTGAGGAAAAGCTCTTTGTTCTAATGACATCAGAGGAAAACAATCATAAGATTGAAACCTTAGCTAAATGAGTATTTGGTAATTTATTTTTTTTTTAGATGGCATCTACTGTTGAAATTGTGGTGCAGGGAATGAGTTCTTTTAGTGCCATTAAAACACCAGTACAATGGCTTCTTACATGTTTTTCTAGCTGAAGTCTGAGCCATATGCCTACTGTTCCAACACCATTGATGTTTATTGAATTGCTGTATGCACCTGAAGTTCCCACCAATTTTTTACATTTGTGTTAATGAAATTGTGCTCGTTTTCAGGAAGGTAGAAACTTGGCTTAACTCCCAGAATCTTAGAAAACAGTGGTATTGAGATATGCATCTGCCTCTTTCTAAGGTTGAAGAAGAAATTGGTACTCTCAGACAAGTTCTGGCTGCTAAAGAAAGGCACTGTGGAGAGCTGAAGAGGAAGCTAGGTTTGACTCCCTTGGATGGGTTGAAGCAAAACCTGTCTAAGAGCTGGCACGACGTACAAGTCTCCAACGCGTAAGTGTTGCTTGTGATGTGTGTTTCACATGGAAAAGTGACTGTAGCAGTTATTTCCCTGCAGCATGTTCCAGAACTTTTCCAACTTGCTGGAGGGTTTTGCTCTGATAGGTACGTAGAGTAAAAGGTGTTTTTAAAAAGCAATGAACTGAATGGATCTCATGTGTCAGCGTAAACAACTTTCATATCTGTGGTCTGAATGCTTTGTTGCTGGATGCTCTCTTGCACAATGTTAAAGACCTTGCTCACTACTCAACAGTTCAGTTTGTCTGTTTCTGCCCATTTCTTTGAGAGACAGATTGCTGCTACCTCATTTTGAGCTCAAGCTCAAAGAGAAGTGCAAAAAATGCCAGAGCTCACTAAGTAATGCATAGTGTTAGTTGAGAATGTTAGCTGTATGTTAGTTCAGAAACTGTTTCCTGGGCTGTGTACCTTGAATTAAAAAGCCTGCACTTCCTAGGAAAAAAAGTCTGTAGCATTAGTCTGCTATGAATGGCATATACAGGGACATCTGTGCCTAAAGAAGGTTTGAAATTAAGACTATTTCTAAACAGGTACAAAGTGTATGATTGCTGCACTGTTCAACAGTGCCAAAAGGAGAGTTGGGGTAAATCTGAGCACAGCTGCCTAATGTAAAGGGCCCTTGGGTACCCAAAGGGATATAATTCAATCTAAAAAGTCACATGCAACTGGAATGGAATTTGGAGTTACTGACATTACATCAGCAGGGCAGGTTTTTGAGCTGTTCATTTCACTGTTCACTCTTTTCCTCATCTTCCCTCCTATCCCCCGTTCAATTTCTGTTACTACTTTGTAACTGAAATGTGTCTTTGTCTTCTAGAAATGAATATTTTAAGTTATATTCATTAACACTTTCTGTTTCTAGTTATGTGAGAACATCTGAGAAACTTGGAGAGTGGAATGACAAAGTGACACAGTCTGACTTGTGAGTGCCTCGGGCTCCTCAGCAACACCTTCATGCTCCTTGCTGCATTCCCCATTTGTGCTGCTCCTTGTTCTCACAGGGGTTGATTGGGAGCTGGAGGCATAGCAAAGCTCTGTTCTTATCAGCATGCCTGACATGCACTCCTCAGTTGCAGAGGAGATGAATAAAAGTTACTGCTATCATCTTTCTTATAGTCATGCCATTGCTGAAGAAAAAATTCCAATCAGTTACCAAACCACATTTGATTAAAAAATAATGAAAGAAATCAACCACAGTTTCACTTTAACTGATCACTGTTAGACTAATCTGTTGTAATTAGGTATCTTACTAGTGAACTTCTCTCTTTATTTTCTCATCAGATATGGTAGGTTTCAGTTTGAATATTACCTTTCTGTTTGGCCACAGTGACAGTATGAAGACATTTGCCCATAGCTGAAAATAGGGGCTTTGCAAATGCAGATATGTACAGTAGGCTTTGAAAGCTGCCATGCTGTGATTCTGATTGATGCATCGAACATTAGAAAGCCAGTTCATTTTAGTCTTTGCAATATATACAAGCAGGTGCTAAATGTTGCTGCCTGCTTTTCTCTCTAGAATATATTCTTTAGTCATGTTAGACCTCTCTACATTAGTCACAAATCACTTTGATTCTTACATAACTGAACATAAAGGAGACCTTGACTGTTTTCTGTGCTGAGGATTCTCTCCATTCTGCATTTTGTGCTTAAGAAAGTGATTATTTAGCCAAGACAGAATGTGAGTTAAAAGCTTCCTGTCAGCAGTTCTGATCTGACTAGGCATAGTTATTTTCCAGGGTTGACAGGAACTGCCTGCAATGTACCTCCTCTGAGCACTTTTACATGTTGTCTAAACTGGCAGGAGATGCTTTTATAGCACTTTTTCTGTACATCTAGTGTTAATTCTCACAATCCCAAAGATACTTTGTTATAAGCATGATTTCTAAAGATGAGAGGATGAAGTGTAGTTTAACAGTTTGTCCAGTTCATACTCTATAGGTAAAATACAGCTTTGGGGACAGCAGTCAGATTTTTTGGCACTGTGCTCAATTCACTGTTCTGTGCTTTTAACTTTTGGTGTTTGGCTGCCATTCTGTATTTATGAAGGGAGCAGAAGATTTGAAGCCTTTCAGTTCCCAACACCTTCTAAACTGCAGACCTTCCTTGTGCAGTGTTTGGAGGTGTTTGGATAAGAAAGAAACCAAAGCTTGGGTGTCTTCCTGCCTCTCAAACAACAGCTCCTTTTCTTCTATCTGTAACAGTGAAGGGAGAAGGCTGTTATCAGAGAAATGAAACCTGCATTGCTGTAAGTGTAAAGAGACACTAATTTGGAAAGTGTCAGAAAGACAGCGGTCAGAAGAAGCATCAGTCATGAATCTTGGCACTGTATCTAACCTCCATTGTGTTTGTAGATATCTTTCAGCCAGCAGCACTCTGGAGGACTGGAATGAAAAATTAACTCAATCAGAAGCGTGAGTGTCTTAACCTTCAGCATTAACAAATGCTTTCATGACAGTCTGCTACCACTAATTTTCTGTGCCCCTGCTTGCACTCCCGTCCTTTCACTACATCTATTTAAGCATTTCTGTCTTCTAGATTTCACTTTTTTTAACCTAATAAAAGTCTATTCTGAGAGAGGGAGCGCTTTCTTTTCAGGTCAGTCTTTGAATGATTTTACTGTGGTTCAAGTGATACTCTTCAAACAGCTGCCTGCTCTCGGGGAACTGGCTGAAGCCACTGGGTACCTGAGCTGCATGCCAGGTTTTGTAACCTCAACTGATGAACTGTGCAATAGTCAGCCTGATCTCTTCTCATCACCCCTCAGCATGCTCTGTGGGGAGCAAGAGCTCTTCTTTTAGCTGTGATACCTGATGAGAACAAATGAAGCTTTAGTGTCCAAGGCAGCTGTTCTGACATTTTAAGGCTCCAAATGGATGTGAACAGCTTAAACCTTGCAGCTGTTGTACTGCATTCATTGGCTGCAAACATTTCTTAGCTATGTTTTTATTAAGTGTCTGGAATTAAGTTCTCATCTGGGCTGAATTACAGAAACGTATTATAGAAGTTGGCTTTCAGCCTTCTCATTGCATCTATGGCATTGTATATAAGGGAAATCCTTTACAGTAGTGCAGTGGAAGCAGGTAGGTTGTGTTGTTGCTTTCTGAACTGATTTAACCGTGGTAAGGTGGGCCTTAGGTAAGCAGGATATTCCTGTTCTTGGGGGTAGGTATGAAATTCAGTCCTTTTGAGGCTGGTCTCCTGCTTTCAGTGCTTGTGAATAGAGGGTTTTCTTCACAAGACAGGTGAAACACAAGGATAGGTGAAAGTTGTTTTGTTTTTTGTATGCAGGTTCCATTTTCAAACATTCTGTGAATGTTTTCTAGATTAAGAAAATGTAAATAGTCACTATTTCACTTGCTAAATAGAGTGACTTGTGTTTATGCTTGCCAATAGTGTGACTGACTGCAGTGGTGTTTAATCAGAGTTCCTCTCTGGGTGTGCCTGCTGGAATAGAAAACTTCTCATTATATCTGTTTCCTTGCACTCAATAAGCACCAGGAGTATATGGCGGAAGCGTGCTTCTGGAGTGTGCTCAAGGCCTGAATAGCTGTGGTGTGCCAGCTTTCCTGCTTGCTTTGGCACTCAACAGCATTGTGATTCATGCTAGCAAGGTAGATGCCAATTAAATGGGAGAGACCAGTGGGCTTGAAATGTGAAATTCCAGCAGTGTCTCAGAAACTGAACAGTTTTCTTTCCCTAAAGCTTGGTAAATGCTAGGAGCCAAGTTCAAGACAACCAAAGAAGAGGTTTTCAGTTGTGTGGTTTGGATTTGTTGTGTAAACGAATCCTCTTTCCTGTTGTTTTGGAACTTCTCTAATAGCTTACAAGCATCCTGACTGACCTGGGACCTTAATGTGCTTTTGTGCTCTGCTGAATTTCCTGGTGGCTGCTGCTCTGGCCTTGGAGCTTGACGGGCTTGACTTGCCCTCTGTGTGCAGTAGGGCAAGGACAGAAAGTCAGCCCTGTCTTTAGCTTTGGTTTCGTGGTAAACTGGATGCAAGGTGACTTAATTGGTACAAATAGTGATTGCTGGATAAGAGCAAGTGAGGAAGCTGGTATTGGGGATAAAGAAGGATTTGAGGATTCGTGTCTGGCTCTTCTCTGGTAGGATTTATAGGAGAGGGATGCAATGAAATGTGTGAGTACAGCAGAGTGAATACCTCAGGGCAGAGACCTTTCCCGCAGCTTCCCCTGCAGCCAGTTGCCTGTTGGTATAGAGGGGTGTTTATCAAAGCTCATACTTAACTGTTCCCAGATTTGGGTGATTAAAGTATGCTTTATAGTAGCATTGAGGGAAGGAAGTGAATGACTGAGTTTATACAGATGGTATACCTAGCTGTGTCACTTGCAGGAGGGTAGTTGTGACTTCTGGGTCAGAGCCGAGTGCAGTTCAGTTGCACTGGAGGCTTTTGTAACCTGGTCCCTGCTGGTTACAGACACAGTTCCACACGTCTGCCTGATGGATGGCAGTTCTGGGTTAAGAAGCTTCTCATCTCTGCTGTGCTTTCCTGGCTCTGCCTCGTGTGTTGCAGTGGTGGAGGTGTGTCTGTGTGTGTAGGAGCTGTGGATGCAGGACTACATTGGTGAACTGATGTCTGCTATCTTTCTTTTTCTTTCCAAGCATCTATTTCAGCCAGATGGGTTCCCTGATCTAGACCACTGTCAGCTTGCAATTGTGTTGGCATCATGCAAGAGCATATTCAGGGGAAAGGAGCAACCCCTAAGTGCTAAATCTTTGATTGTCTTAAGAATACTGCTGTCAAGTGTGGGAAAAGTAGTTAGAAAATCTATCATCTGCTGAAGCTCAACATAATACCTAAGAGTTTCCAGCGTGTGTGAGGTGTGATGGTATCCTCTGTAGACTCTTTCTCTCATCACTGCTCTTGTCTCAGTGCTTATCTGGGAGAGTTGAGTGCTAAGCAGTGCAGTAAGCATGGCTGTTTTACTGAGCACAAGGTCTGCCATGTGTCTGTCAGCTGTAAGTGACAGGGCTTAGGGAGCCAGACTGCAAAAGGAGGGCTGACATGCTCCTCTCCTGAAGAAGCTTTTGCCCTAGGGATTCATGCCCAGCTATTGCAAGAGGGAGTACATTCCTGATTCAGAAACAGGTGGTTGTGGTCTTGAACAAAACCAAAAAGCAAAAGAAACAAATGAAATTGGCGTTGCTGGAATCTAGTTCAGGTGTTGTGATGCTGCCTCCCACTGTTTTGTTTGGAGCAAATGAGAAGTAGATAGAGCTGTCATCGTGGGGCTTCAGGCCTTGGGAGCTCAGAGATGGAACAGTAGGCTGCTAAGGTGAGTCCAGGAGCTCAACTTGGAGATCCTCATGGGCCCTTTCCAACTTGGGATATTCTGTTCTGTTTATAAATGTCCTTCTGCTAGATGTAGTTGGGCAAAAAAGTCATCTGAAGCTTATGTGCTTGGAAAAAGAAAACTTGGCTTAAATTTTTGGACTTGTTTTCAAGACTGAATCTTATAAGAATGCCCTTAGTGTGGATGTTAATCACCAGCTGTGGAATAGCTTAGAGTGTATCAGTTAAAGAAAATGACTTGAAGAACCTTTATTCTAAAACATGTCTCATTTGATGGAAACAAAGGTTCTCAAGTGTCTGACTTCTTCAGCACTTGTAGAAACTCAGATGTAATCAACTGATAAATGTGAGCTGTCAGACTTGTTTACTGTGGTTAATGGTAACTGATAGGAAACTTCTCTGCTAATTTAATTCTAAACTGTGGTTATAGAAGTTATGCTGATTCTTGCATTTCCTTTTCTGTACAGTGATCTTAGTCTTGCCTCTATCCTCCATACCCTGACACCACAACCTATTACTTGCTTCTTCAAGGCTTCAAGCATATTATGGAATTGATTCCTACACTTAATTTTCTCCGTGTCCAAAATAACAGAGCAGATAGGTTACAGTGCTATAGTATTAAAGTTGCCATGTGGAAAATTGGCTTTTTTTTTTTTTGCAATTGTTTGTCAAATTCAAGCTTGTGTGGTCAAGATGGTAACATAACAGAAGTTGGTGTAAGGAAAGGTTAATCCTACACTCGTTGCTTTCTTAAAACTTCAAGACTGATATATGTAAGACTAGAGGGGGCTCTTTCAGTGAAGTTAGTACAGCTCACTAACCTAGCTTCTTTCCTTTAACATGGGCTCCTTTTTAAAGAGATGCTTCTCACTTTTAGAGCCTAACCCTGTTAGTTCAGCTTACTGGTTGTTTTTTTTTTTCTTTACTTAGTTATAAGAAGACTCAAGAAACCCTTTCCCAAGCAGGACAGAAGACTTCAGCAGCCCTTTCCAATGTAGGTTCTGTTATCAGCAGGAAACTTGGGGACATGAGGTAAGGTTTCTGTTTTGTGCTCTGGTGCTTTGATCTCGGTTTCAAACAGTAATGAAGCTTTAAACAATAACAAGGCTTTTTTCCATTTTTCTGCTTAGTTTGCAACACTCTGCTGTTGATGGACCACCTTCTTATGTGTGGCCCTGTACATCATTGTTCAGAACAGATTAAACACTTATTTTTTACCCCTCTACCAGTCTTTAACCCATTTCAAGGCATTTAACAGCGTGATTCCAGTTAGCAGAATCAGCAGAACATTCTTAGCACCCTTCCCTCTTTTTTTTTTTTTTTACTGTCATAGTTTCACTGCGGCTTTTTCACCATATATAAGAAACTAGTATTAAAGTTTGCATTTTCCATTCATTACTGTATGATGGAGGTGTTTTCTCACTGTGGTGGCTTAACATTAGAACAGGATTATTATTGTGTGCTTTAAAGTGAACAAAGTCTGGATGCTGCTTGTCATGCAGTTCCAAACCTTACGTGTCAGCTTTCTAGGAAGGAGAGCAGCATGCCTTCTGAGCATGGTTATGTCATGTAGTTTGGAAGACATGAGCTGATGCAGAAGATATGATAATATTAAAAATTTCTCCTGGTTGGTGGTTATTTAGATTCCTTTAGATGGCAGCTGAAGTGGTTGCATATTTAAAACTCTCTTGGCTGAAAAGTTAAGAGCTGATTCCCACAGTTGCTGGCTGGGGTTCTGGCTTTGAGGGTTAACAAAGCTGAAGGTTAGAACTGATGATTTACCTGGTCTTCAGAAATGTAAGCTAGAAATTGTTTCTCCATTAATGGTGTTGTGCAAATTTTTTGCACATTGCTGATGCTTTTCTTGGAACTGAGAGTTAATTCTGAACCTACCATCTATCTGAATGACTAAAGAAGAATTCTTAGAGCTTGAATTTAATATGATGTTCCAGATCTTGGACTGAATTGGTAGCTGTTGTTCTTTGTAGGGAATTTCCTATTCCACTGTGGCTGGGATTTCCCAAGTGGTAAGAACTTGTTGGCCTCTGATCACACAGTGCTGATGTGTTCTAGATCTCTCCCCACTGAGTCATTTACTGTGTTCCTGGAGGGTAATGTTGGTGACCATTTTCAGCATCTTACTTGTCTGAATTTGGCAGAGGACTGGCTGACTTCCTACTCCTTCCAGTATTCAGGTTTTAATTTTTCTGTCCTGGAAATTGCCTTCTTTATGGGAAGAAGATATTTATGTATAATCACTTGTGACATCAGCAGACAGATGCTGGTGCAAGATGTTATGGTGTGGTAGCAGCTCTTCCTAAGCCGGTAATGGTGAAGTAAGCTTCTAAATTCTGCAGTCTGTTCAGGCTGTTGTGGCAAAGGGATGAGAACTGTACTCTCTGGATCAAATGGGGAGCTCCTGAGCCAGCATTACCACCAGAAGATGCGCAGGACCAATCTTGTCAGCATGGCATCTCTTCACTGGCAGAACAAGTTCACCATGTGGCTGCACAAATGGTTGGGCCAGCTGATGGAGGGAGGGATGCACAGCTGAGTGAGGAGTGGAACTTAGTCTTGGTGGTGGAGGTGGGCTGACACAGTCACAGTGGGAGTGCTGTTGGTGTGTTCTGGCCCAGCTCACTGCTCACACGTCAGGCCATTGCAGCCGTGGCATTGCTCAGCATTAGTCACCAATTTCAAAACATGTATTCCTTTTTATAGATAATACTTTGGGTGATGTATGAGGAAACAGAGGCAGCTTCTTGAGGATGTCCCTGCCAAATTTCAGGAGGATTTGCTTTGTATATATGGCCCTATGGGGAACACAGTAATGATGATTATTTTTTTAAGAAGACTTTTAGTTTTTCTGTGCATATACAAATGAAATTCTTTCTGCTGTATTCAAGTCTTGATATCTCTAATTTTGAACAAAGTTTAGCTCTCAGTGTAAGCTTCTGCAGGAACTGGCTTGTTTTCCACCCCAGCCAGGTGAAACTTTACATGGTTTTGGTATGCAATCAGAGCTTCCAGAGTGAAGTCTGTCATATTGCTGTGATCACTTCTCTGATTGCTGGGGATGGTCTTTGTGTTCCAACAATCTCTGTTCCAGGCCTCATAGCCAGCATTACAACTTCAGTTACTGTACTTGCTTTTTCCCTTTCCACTGCAAATTCACTTGTAACGAAGGTTTATTTTCCAGCACTGGAAGTGTTGAGATAACAGAAGGGATTTCCTTGTTTAGTCAGCCTTCACCGGTTGATAAATACAAGGAAGGTGTGATAAATGGGCAATCTCCTTAGATATGCAGAGGGCGTAGTCATAATTCCATTAGAAATCTGTGGTCTGAAATGGTGTGAAATACAGTAACATGGCCCTGGGTTAAAACTTCAGAGTTGCTGCATTTTGGTCAAAATGCTTCTAAATGTTAAGGCTGTTATAATTGCAAGGAGAGATCGTGAAGTTAATGCAGTGACCATACACTAAATGTACTTAGTAGTGCTCTTGCTCTATTAGATTGCCACAAGTAACGAAAACAGCTTAGTTAATGGGTGGGATTTTTGTAAGTCCTGGCCAATTCAGCTCTTTCTGTTATCTCCACTTACAGTTGAAAAGTAAACTGGCTTTTAGGCATTCTGTTCCTGCATTTTACTGACCCCAGTAAACTGCAAATTGAAGGTGTTTTCTTTTTGCCAGATAAAAGCTTTGTGCTTTTGTCTCCCAGTATATTTTGTGGTGTCTGGTTGAGCTCACTACTGTCTGTAATACTACAAGCACATTTATTGTAAGATGGAGCCCCCAGACTCCTGATTTGACAGAAATTTTAAATCCCTACAATTGGAGGAAAAAGGGTCACTGCCAAGATGTCTCCAGGTCTACCAGTGCTTGTGGTATTGCATGCAGAGCAGCATGCTGCATGGACCTGTTATCTGTGCTCTTCTCCTTTAACAAAGAGCAAGTAGGAAGTTAATTTATTTCACACGCACAGACAGCATCTCAAGGAGTCTGTGTTGCCAAAGGGCCAACTTGGATACAGGGGAAATGAAATCCCAAAGCTTAATGTCATTGCTCAGACTGGAAGGAAAAGCCCTTGTGTTCCTTGCCAAGCACTTCACATCCAACTTGCTGTGACTGCTTCCAACTGCAGAGACAAAAATGATATTTAAGTGGAATAAAATGCTGCTTCTAGAAGGAGAAGCCTCTTCAAAACATCCTGGAAATCTTAGTACTAGCAGTAGGAAAGCTTAGTCTGTAACTTCAGACTGAGACAGCGCTGCATTGCAAAATCAAATGTGGAAACTGGTAACGTGGTGGCAAATGATTCACTTTAAAAATGGGTGTATGTGTGTTGAGTATGCATGATACCTTTTATCCAGATATTCTTATCTTTATTACGCTGAGATCTGTTTGTTCTCTGAGCTGTAACTCTGCAGCCTTGGCAAGGTAACACACAGGCACCCGCTGCAGGCTGCTGTTACGGGAGTTCTCAGCCAGAAAGCCTGGCCCTGCTGTCCTTGGGCCACAGCTCAGAGGGGAAGGAAATATTTTTATCAAATCAGCTAGCGCTGGGTAAAAACTTTAGCTTAGGAAAACAGGCTCTAAAAAAAAAAAAATCAAGTAAAAGCAATGGATGGGTAAGTGTGGTTAGGTGCTGTTATTATCATATGGAAAACCATTTAGTCTGAGGTGAGTTAATGGAAAGCAATTGGTTTTTTCACTTGCTTCTCTAATTTATTTTGAGAGGCTTCCTCTTAAGGAAATGTCTTTTACTGTCCCATGATCCTGCGACTGTGTCCCTGCTCAGCTGCCTTGCATTTAGCATTCAGATCTGCACAATGCCTGACTGTTGCTTCCCTTTTCTCTTTTTGCTGTCAATGGCTTCTCTCAGGGCTCACCCCTTCTCGCATTCCTTTAGGTAAGATATCTCCAAGGTTGCTCTCAGAGCAGATGTTTCTGTGCCAAGTCCTTGCAGGCGTTAAAGGGGAAGCTGATGATTTAAGCCTTGCCTACACTTTTGACATGGATTGAGAAACCTAGCTCAATCCAGTGCCTGGCAATTGACTTTTGTATCATGATTGCAATTTACAGTTCTTGCCATATGGTACAGCTGCAGCTAGAAGGCTCTTCTTAACTCCTGAGCATCTTCTAACACCTTGCTGGTTTGATAGCACCAACTCAGCATACCTTTTGGCAGCACTTACTGCGTGCTTTTTCTGTCTTTGTCAGCTTTGTACTGGGACAGTGGTTGGCAGAAACCATCACTAGTAAAAACCCACTCATTTGAGTAGCTCCGTACAGACAGACCAGTTGTGCACCTTTTTGTCCCGTAGAGGTTGTCCCTGCTTTCAACTTCTGCTGTTGATCATTGGCACCTGACCCCTCTTGGGCATAGCTGGAAAACCCTTTTCTAAATATCTCATTGTCAAGAAGTGGAAAAGAGGGATTTTAGCTCTGTGCTTGTCCTCAGCAGCCTGTGTATGGACGGTGCTGAGGGTGTGCTGCTCTTGCATGGCTTCTGTTTAAAACTGTCATTTAACCTTTTCCTCCTTATTCTGAATGCTTCCGAGCAGCAGTTACTCCATTCGCCACTCGATAAGTATGCCAGCAATGAGGTAAAGTCACAAACACCCGTGTTTCCTCCGTGGGGTTGGTGGGAGACTGCAGCTGACTGTTGTTGGTGGCTTTTTTGTTCTGATTTGTGTGAGTGCTTCACTGCTCAGAGGATGGGGTAACTGTGCCCCAAAGTTGAAGTAATTCGGGGTTTTTGTTTTTACTCCATCTCTCTTTATGGTTGTTAGCACCTGCATTGTTTTTGGACTAAGTGCAGTGTTGCAACTGTACCAAAGTCTAATTGAAATTTGCAGCTTTCAGAGGTCCCAGGAAGGGAGGGATTACAGCCCTTTTCTTGCCATTTACAGCACACCTAATACTGAATCCTAACTTAAGTCTTCTGTCTCCACCTCGGGAGCTACGTGCCCTTCTCCAAGTGCCTCTGTGGTACATTAGATGATGATCCTTTAAGAGAAGCAATGACCAGAGCTGGACAAGGCCCGCAGAAGCCCTCTCTATTAATCCTCATTCCTGGTCAACAGATGTTATTTTGTGGCAGAAATGTAAAGTGCTGATTTGGATGGAAATACCTGAGATGAGGCTTGTTGTCACCCAGCTCATGGTGTTTATGCAGTCTATCCTGGGGAGAAGACTCTGCATGACTAATTGTCCAGCAGAGCGCTCTGCTCAGCCCTGCTCTGGAAACATTCACCAACAAAGCCACCTGTCAGTGTCAGACAACTGGCCTGGCTTTCTTTGCTGATCAATTTATCACACTGGGATTTTTATGAACGTTTCCTGGTGTTATGAACACACCTGTGTAACAGAACTGCCCATAGGGCTCAGACATGTGGCCCTTCCTCTTCCTGCCAGCAGGATGCAAGGTGGGAAAATGAAGCCTTTTTTGAAACCCTTGTCAGCTTTTCATTTTCATTATTAAAGAAAGCATTCTTTTAGTTGAAGGACTAAGGACTAGTTTCTTCCCTACGTGTCATGCACTGATTCCCTAGCCAGCTAGGATTATTTGCCCTCAACTTTGTAGCTTATGAATAGATTGCACATGGCAGAAATATTTTCCTTCAGAGTTTGTATGTGGGGTTTTTTGACTGGTGTGTCTGAGACATTTGTGCCAAGGGCTAACATGGTGAGGAGCTGTGAGTGTTGTGGGTGTTCTGGCATTGCATGGGAGCCCAGGCACACTGTGGTTTGGTTTACTTAAGAGCTAATGTGTTTTGATTTTTTTTTTTATTGTTTTCCTCTTTCTTCAAGGAATTCTGCAACCTTCAAGTCATTTGAAGATAGAGTTGGGACCATAAAGGTAACTATCTGCTTTGTCTTGTACGTATACAGTGTAAGGCCTTAAGCAGAAATTGTAATTTCTGTAGTGTTTTGTAAACTATTGTTTGGGCAAATGGCTTCTCAGATGCATGGAATCTTTGCTCTGCAGTAGGTGACCTTGAAGAGAGAGATTGGCTTGGTAATCTCAGTACTGGTTTCTTGTTATCCTAACTAGCTTCTCTCCTTTCAGTCCAGAGTGGTGGGCAGCAGGGAAAACAGCACTGATGGCCTCCAGTCCCCCTCAGCTGGAGACAAGCCCCCGCAGGACAACGCTCCTTTCTAGACCTGCAGTGTGGCTTTGCACAGCTGTGCATGACTCCAAGAGCAAGCCTCCTCCCTCCCAAATCTTCACAACAGCAACAACATGCAGATCCATGAAGGGGCTGAGAGCCAGTCTGGAGAGATCCATAACTCATTCATAGACACTGCTGCTGGATCTAAGTCAAATAAAGAGAATGCAAAGTTTTGTACACAGATAATATTTTACACTAAAGTTTGTAGATGAATTGTATCACTGTGCTGTCCTTTTGGGAGAGCACTGAAGATGGAGTTTCCCTAAAGTAGCTCAGAAATGCCACTGGTGTAGAAAAAGCATTTTTTTTCCCCACTTCTGTTGTCTCTTGGAACAGTTAAACTGCCATGTGCAGTGTGAGGAGGGCAGTTAGAGGAGAAACCAAGAGGAGGGGCATCTTAGCTTCAGCTTCTGGCTGTGTTCTGTGTTCAGGGCTTGCCATGCAGCTACTCCCCGATCTCCCAGGCTTCTCCTATTACTGCTTCCTCTGGTTCTCATTGGAACAGTCTGTTAAATGGGGCAAACAGTTGTTTTTCTGAGCTTCCAAGAGGGAAACTTCACTTAGCAGCTGCCTCGTTGTTACACTAATGCTCTAGCTTTAACAAAACTAAGATCTTTATTTTTAAATGCAATGAACTTTAAAGAAATAAAGCTTAAAAACAACAACAACAAAAAAAGCTTTGGCATCATATTAGGGAAATGCTCCCTTGGACTCTGAAACTGAATTGCAAGCCTTACATCACCTTACGCTTTACTTGTTTATGGTTTTTTTTTCTATAGAGAAGACTGTAAGGGTTATAAAGCTGGATATTGAGCACTGGAGTTTTGCATCATACAGTAGTAGCAGCATGCTTGTGAGCCAGTTTTTGTGTAAACTTTCAGTGGTGCACTCTATTGCCCAGTGTGTAAAACTTGCTTCTCCCTTCTCAGCTTTTGTTCTTGGAGGAAAAGAAATCTGAAGGCTGCTAGCAACAGGGCCAGGTTTAAAAAGGACAAAGCTGTTGCTAGTAGTACTATGCTATACTGGAAGGACTCTGCTCTCTGGGGGCGTCTCTGTCTGGTACATCTGACTGTAACTGTGTGGGTTTTTCAGCTGGAAGCCCCAGCTGCAACCTTGGTTTACAAAACCAGCAGAGAGTCACAGAGCTCACCGGTTCCCAGAGCAGGCGGTTTGCTCTTTTGATGCCCAGCTTCATTGCTTGGGATTAGTGATAAGTTGTGAATTGTTTTACAGAGGCCTGAGCTTATTCTAGGCAAGGTACCTCCATATAGAGCGAGCAATTCTGTGCCTTAGAGGCCAAGTGGGACTTATTCAGGTCTTTAGGCTTGCCTATGTACATATCTGGTAGCTTTAGTGGTTTATCACCCCGAAGGGACTGAACTGCCTGACCCTTCCTTAGAGAAGCAAGTTTTGACACTTTTCTGCTGATTAATCCCCACATTCCCCACCCCTGCTCCCCTGCTGATGGGGACCCTCAGTGTGAGTAGCAGGCAGATGTGCTGGCAGTAGGAGTGGAGTGTCATTTCCAGCCTGCCCTGTTTGACCGAAGCTGGCCTCTGCGCGAGGAGCGGTGAGACGGGCTGCTGGAGATTGGGTCTGAAACTGTTTCTCATCACAGATCAATTTTGAGGAATCTTGTCAATAAAGCATTCCTTTGGGAGAAAACGGGGTGAATGTTTTTGTCTCGTTCTGTGTAACGCTACTGAAGTCTGGTTTTAGGTGTGTGCTGTGAACTTGGCAGGGAGGTCCCGGCCTCCTGCAGAGGTGAGGCACGGAGCATCCCTCTGCCCTGCCTGCATCTCATGAAGCAATGCGTTAAGAAGTGTTTATGCTCTGATTTTCAAGTGGCAGTGGTAAGCCCGCATTTGTGCAGTGTCACATTGCTCCCTTTTCTACCAGTGCCTCGGGCTTCCCGAGCAGTGACAGCAGTTGGAGCTGGGGCAACGTAAGGTGGAGAAGCAGCAGCTGTGGTGCTGGCTCACCTGCACAGCTTGAGACCGCAGGGAATCAATCAGCAGCTTGGAAGCTCCGGCAGTTCTTTCTGATTGAAACGGTCACCGCGGAGGCGAAATTGTGGCTGTGTGAGTTGGGCTGGGAGCCGCTCTTGGGTTTAGGAGGGCAGCAGAGGGAGCCCCGCTCCCCTGGGGTTGGTTCGTGCACGGTGAAGGACAGGGCTTCAGAAAGCTCGTTGCACGTCGCTGAGGCCGCTTGAGGCATCAGAAGGAAACCGTGCTGCTTTGCTGGGGCTGAGGAGCACCCGCACGTCAATACAAGGTGGTTTGCAGGGGAGCACGAGATGAAGAGGTTTCACATAGAAGGTTGGAGGCTGCAGGGAACGGGGTTGTTCTGTCCCGCGGAGCAGCACAGAGCAGATAAACAGCAAGACAGAGAAACAATTAATTACAAAAAATGCCCGGCGGGGCTCCGTGCTTCGGTTTAGAGGGAACGTAGCAAAGAGTGCAAACAGCCCTCCCTGGTGGTCTAGTGGTTAGGATTCGGCGCTCTCACCGCCGCGGCCCGGGTTCGATTCCCGGTCAGGGAAGTTGTCTTTTGCCACTCTCTCTCCGTAGGGGCCACTTTTCTCTCTCGGGTCAGCAGTAGGGCGCGTCCAGCTGCGCGCAGCCCCGCCTTCCATCCTCTCCATTCCGCTCTAACTCTGCGCGCGCCCCACCGCGTCCACGCGCGCTCCCGGCAGGGAGAGGCGGGGCCCCGCGTGCTCGCGCGGGGACGAGTGGGCGGGGCAGCGCGCGCAGGCGCCGTACACGCTGCGCGCCGCGCAGGCCCCTCCCCCTCCCGCCCGTGCTCAGCGTCGCCGGGTCCCGGTGCTGCGGAGCGCTGTGGGCGCCGCGCCGCCAGCCGCAGCCGCCGGGCCGTGTCCTGCCCCGCCCCCCCCCCCCGGGGCTGCGCGGCCCCCGCTGCCCGCACGTCCGCCCTCCCGCAGGGCGCAGGTGAGCGCCGGGCCGAGCCGGGCCGGGCCTCGCTTCGTAGCGCTGGGCCCGAACCGGGGTGGTGGCGATGGTGGGGGTGGGGGTGGTTGGGGGGGGGGGGTGAGGCGTAGGCTGCAGGGCTGAGGAGGCCCAAGTGGAGGCTGTGCCCCGGGGAGGTGGGGCCTGCAGGGCCGTGTGGGGCTGAGGAGGATGGGATTTCGATAGGGGCCGTGGGCTGGTTGGGGACGGAGCCTGGAAGGGGCTGAGGGAGCGGGCAGGAGCGGCACGGGGGTGGTGTGGGGCTGAACTGAGGCTGAGGGGATGCGGCCCGAAGGGGCTGTGACGGGTCGGGGCGGCTGGGGGAGGCGGGCGGCAGCAGCGGGGCCCGGCGGGATGTTGGCGGTGCATCTCCGTGCTGCCGGGCCGGGGGGCAGCGGGCCGCTGTGTTCAGTGCAGCATCCCTCCGTTATGCAGGGCTGGGGAAAAAAATAACCGTGATTACGGGCGTTGTGGCTCCTTCCGTGGGAACCTCGTGCGCGGGGGGGGTGGAAATCCCGTCCCCCCGCTGCCTGCGCGCACGGTGTTTCGCTGGGAAGCAGCAGTGCTGGGTGTGGGGCTGCAGACCCCCCCCCAAAACACAGCCGAGGGCCTGGAGAGGTGAATTCTGAATGCGGAGTGTTTGTGTTACGGGTCGGCAGCGATTGAGGATGACTGGGGGGATCTCTGTGCTTCCCCTTCCTTACGTCGTGATGTTTTACGTGTAATTTGTGGCTGCTTGGTGACGGTTAACGAGTGACGTATTGCCAGAAAGCCTTTCCAGTCAGAAAGCTGCGGACGCGGCGTAATTCCCTTCATTTGGGCGGTATTGGAATTAAGGATTCCGGTCAGGACGCTGTGGGGATGCACCACAGAACCGGGAGCAGCAGAGGGATGAGGCAGCGCTCTGCCTTTGTGCTCATCCCTCACCGGCACCTCTCTGCTGGCTGACACAATGCTGCTGACTTTATTGCTGGGTGCAGCACGGTTCCTGCTTGGGAAGCGAGGTGAGAGCCGGACCTGAGCAGCAAAGCAGGCAATGTTATCTCTAGGTTTGCTTTTATGGAGGTGTTAAGGTGGGAGATGCTGCTGGGTGTGCTGAATAGCCGCTCTCATGCGGTACAGCTGTAAGAAGGCCACGTGCTCAATGCGTGCAGTGGCACCGGTGTGCAGTAATTCTCCTGATGTCGTCGTGTGGGTCCTGTTGGCCACGTGTGTTTGGGAGCATTGTGCCAGCCTCGGTTCCAGCGCAGGGATTGGGAAGTTTCATGACAGCTGTTGGTGTTGGGCTGGGCCTTGCTGTTGGCTTTTGATAGAAAATGGGTGAGGTCCAGCATAAGGTGGCTGAGGAATAGGTGCCAAATTCAATTGCACAAATGAATTGCTTCTAATAATTTAAGTCCGGTGCGCATTGGGAGGGAAAGAAGAGAGGGATTGCCCAGGTTGGACTGGAAGAGAAATTGATTGCAGAGTGGACTGAAAGAGCAATTTTCCTGCGGTGTCCAAAGGACTTCAGGGCAACTTCTGGCAGTGCTGGCCTGCAGGGTCTCCTCTGGGATAACTCAGTGATGGGAGGTGAGACGTTCTGCAAACAAAAAGGAGTTTGTTTCCTTCCTTCCCTCCCTTCTTCGTGTCATCCATGGCATTTCAGTGGAAGCAGAGATGCTGCAGCACTGTGTTTTTGCTCCCAAATTGTTGTTGTGTTGCACTGAAGAACTGCAATAGGCAGTAGGTCCAGAGCAGCAATAAAAACCCCAGTCAGGTCCAGAGCTCACTGATAATCTGAGGGCACAAAAAGTAGAAACCTGCACAGCTCTGTTTGTTTTCCCCTTTTTAAGCCTTTGAATTTTTGGCTGTATTTCAAATGAAAATACTCTTTTCCCTTCCATCTGTCGTTGCTCCTCTTGCAGGACTTTCTGTTACTGCGATGGCAGTAATATTTCAGCGATTGTATTTATGCTCAGAAATATTTTGTGATCTCATATTGTTTTTGTGCCACTGTCTGAGTGCATGGCATGGAACACGAGGCTTGGCTGCTCCAGGTTTGCTCCCAGGAGCTGCAGGACTGCTTTCCTTTCAACACTGACCTGGCTGTGTCTGTGACAGGGGAGGCTGCAGCTCGGCCAGGTGTGACTGCAGCACGTTGTTGGTCTGAGCGACGGAAGAGAATCAGGTGACAAACTGCATCTCTTCTTTAGAACGCTGATCTGCTGATCCTGGGGGCCTGGTGTGACAAATGGGTTCTTTTAGAAGCCCCCAAAGTTACTGCTGGGAAAAGATGCATTCAGTTTGACAGAAGCTGTTTTGAGCACTGAGAGGCGCGAAGCGCAGAAACGTTCAGCCTGGGCAATAGGAAATCCCTCTTCTCTGTAATAACCACCCCCCTCAGTCTTCTTTCTTTCCTGCCAAAGTTCCTGATTTCTGCACGCGCTGAGTTCATCCCCACAGCACTTACAGAAATTGCTCCACACGCTGTTAACTTAGAAAAGCCACACAGATGGAAGCAGCAGAGGTGCACGGCTACGGCTACCCAAGCGTACAGCGTGGTTTGTGGGACGGGACGGCGATGGATGCAGCCCCATGTCTGCTCCTGGCCCTGCAATGGGATGGCAGCTGCACAGAGCCCCTCGGATGATGCACCCAGTGTCTCCTCCAGCTGTGCTGTAGGTGCAACCTCTCTGCCCCGTTTCCTGTCCCTTATCTTAAAACCACGCTTCTTCCCGTGACTTGTGCTGTTGGCATCTTCTGCACAAAGCCTCTTGCTGTTCAGAATTATCTCCCAGTGATGATTTCCACTCTTCCTTCCTTGCTGTTATGAGGCTGTCAAACTGCTGTTTAATGGTAAGCCTGTAAGGACTGGGAGAGCTTAACCACTGCACTGTGAGGACAGCACTGCTTGAACAGCACTCAGCACCACGGAGCTGAAACATCAGCTGCAGAAAGCAGGCAGGTTCCTGGCTTTGCTCTGTTACTTCAGGTGGGGGAAAAAAAATGTTTATAAAATGCATGCATGTTTAGGTGCTGTGTTTGTAATCCCAATTGCACCACTGGGAGAACTCTATGTAGGAGGGGTTTTTCCATGCGTGCCAGCTATGCAGGATGAGGCCACAGAATGAGCCTTGCTGCTGTTGTCACAGCCAGGTAGCAGGGAATGGGCAGGACGAGCACCCCTCTCAGTTTCCTTATTTCTAAACGACGGGCTCATGTCTTTATTTATATAGGCTAGGCTGAGTGGGGCTGTGAGGATGTGGCTCATCTCATGGATTGTGGATGGAATGTTTGCAGGGTGAGATAACAGCAGTAACCATCGGTGTGCTGCCTGTAGGAGGGAGGGTAGTGTAAAATAAATCTTTTTGTTGATGAAATGGCTCTGTATAATTAGGAAATACCAACGAGTTTATCTCCCGTGAGAAAGCATCCATTCAGATGAAGGCCTTTTGGACAACTGCTGGGCTGCATTTTGGGTGTTTGGAGCCAGATGAACTCAGCAGAGGCAGTGAGCCGAGCCCTGAACACAGGCTGACACAGATCTGCATGATGAGGTACCCCCACAGCACCAACCAGGTGTCTCCAGGGAAGGAATGGCGTTGTGTTTTCCAGCCATGCCAGTATGTAGAAGTTTGGGTAGCGCTGGGCAGTTCAGGTTCAATAACAAAAATCTTTTCTTAACCTATTTTATGGTGATAGAATCACCAACTGCCTTAAGTTGGAAGGGGCCTTAACGTTTTTGTGTCCAACTCTGAGAAGATGGCAAACCATGGTGCTTTTTTTGCCTTTGTTTCGTTGATCTAATAAAGACCTGTGCTTTCTGCTTGTCACGTGGGGAAATGAGCACATCCATTTCTCTGGCAGTTTCTTTGAGAAGTGAAATGGGGAAACGATGGCGTCTCCTCCCCGTGCACCAGCAGAAGTGGGGAAGTGCAGCTGGCAGGAAGAAGTGCTTGACCTTTACACTTGGCTAAAGGCAAAGCCTTTGGGATGGAAGCTCTCACAACTGGGGTACGTGTGACAGGCACTCCTCTCCTTGGGCAGGGAAGACCCCACTGGATACATGAGATAAAAGTGCATGGAGAGAAACTCAACTGCTTTCTTTCTGTCCAGATTGGAAAGGGAGATGGTGTGGTTACCCTGCAAAGGAGGAAAAAATGGGATCCAACTTCAGAGGGTGCTTCCATTGGTTCCTGGTGCTGAGCAGAGGCACTCCAGCTACTCTTGTCAGTGCCATGGTTGGGGATGGTTGGATCTGGGAGCTCAGCTGTATACATCCTGCTGTCTGCTTCTGCTTTGTTTGTGTTTTTATTTACTTTTTAATAGGAAGATTGGTGTGTTTGGTTGGAGCAGTTGTGGAATAACGTTGGTCCCTGCTCATGCCACGCTCACCTGTTCCCATGGGGCCTCTCCATCTGCCCCCACAAATGGCAGCAGCAGAATCACCGGATCAGTGCAGTCACAGAATCAGTAAGGCTGGAAAAGGCCACGAAGATCAGGTGCTGCTGTTTGTAAGAAAGCAGTGCCTTTAGCATGGCTCACCAGCAGCGAGCAGTGCTTTCTCCTGTTGATTCCAGTGCGCTCACATGCAATGAGAAATCGGTGATTCAAGCACTGCAGAGGTTTTTTAATAGAGAAGCAAGGGTGATAAGAAAGTGGGCAGGCAGAACTGCTGGTTTCCCTTAGACTTTAACACAGCTGAGTAAGCAGATGCAGTTGTTTTTTTTTATAGCCACGTGAGGATTGTGACACTTGCACGCTGCCATATAAACTACTGGGGTGCCATAAACAATAATGTTTTGCTAAAGGAACCCAAAGTAGGGAAGGCACAAAGAATCATGTAAGGAGTAATTACTGTAGGTGAGGAGGGGGGATGGAAGATGGGAATCTGATACTTTGGTGTTCTGGTTGTGGTGTGGAAACCATTGTTGAGGCTTTGAAACTCACTCTTGTGTAAGTACAAGGTCACAGGTTTTTTGTAACAGGTCGGCCCTCAGACTTGCATGGCTGAATTTTAATCTGCTAAGCTAATTAGGGGAACAAGGCTGGTATCACTGCCCTTAAGTTTGTTACAAGTTCCGTGTAGCCCCAGGGTTGTTAATGATGGATGCTATCTCTGCTCAGACTTGGAGACAGTGGGGAGGTGGGGCTTGCTGCCAGAAGGGGCCATCTGCAGCTTGCTGTAGTATGGCTTGGTGAGCAGCTTTTGATGTTATTCTTTAATTACCTGTAAGTGTGATGCAGTACGTGTCCATAAGGTGTGGGGCTGACAGTTCTGTTCTATGACTGTTGGATAATAGCAGCTCTGGGAGAGGTGGGAGCAGACAGAGGCAGGCGTTCAGGTCTGAGAGATGGCTCATTGCTGTGAGGAGAAGTGATTGTCTGACTCAGATTCAAATTTGTGGGACAGATGAGGTTAGAAGAGCTGGTTTGGTGCAAGTGAGACAGTTGGAAGAACAGGCAACTTTCCCGAGCTGTCCCTTCATTTGTGTTACAGACCTTGCTGTGGCTTCAATCCATTGCTGTTCTCAGCTTGTGTTCAGGTGGCCTTCCTGTCTGTTGCTGATAAGCCAGCCTTCTTTCCTCTTTTCTTCTGATCCTCACATTTAAGAGGTAGAGAATATACAAGGAATTGACGGTTCATGGATCATTTCTTCTCTTACCTGCACGTGTTCTGCAGCAGTTGTTGCAGCTTTGCCTCGACCACTGAAGGGACTGACTGATGCTTCGTGCTGCTGGATCCTCTCAGGTTCCATTCCTTGTATGCTGAAGTGAGACTTGGTTCTTCAGCTGCAGCTTGCAGTCCCTCACATCAGCTAAGCTCCTTTAGCAGTCTCTCTCTAACAACATTACAGATTACCGAGACTTAAAAAACACACTTCTCTTGTTTTAAGTACAGCTATTTCACCAATGCCTAAGATGCAGAAGGCTGGTGTCTCGAGCAGATAGCAGTTGTTATGCTTTCTGTGCTCAGAGCTGCCTCATTTTAGCTGTGTGTTTGTCTTTTGTGCAGTAGGAGGCTTGGGAACGGAGGCTGAAGCTTCAGATAGAAGCACACAGCCCCTGGATCTGCACCTTAAAGTGTTTGTACCTTCATCTGACAGCTGATCATGTCTGAATATGTGACATATGTGACACCATGGAGATTTACTACAATAGAAATAATCTTGACTTTATTTCGGACTTCTGTCACAAGGCAGTGTGTGATTGCCAGCATTTTGGAAACACACAGACACAGAGCTCAGAATGTGCTCCCTGCTGCCAGCTGACCGTGCTGCGGGAAGGCGTGAGCGTATAACTGCGTCCATTAACCTGATGGCCTCAGTATTGATCTGCTTTAAGTTGAAGTGATGGGATGAACACTTTGCTACAAGTCCTCAGCATGAGTTAGTGAAAATGTGATTTATTTTTGTTTTGTCTTTTATAGGAGATCCTGTTCCAGAGGTGTGTGGAGGCAGCTACTGCTTGTCTTAGAATAGGCAAACTAGGTACCAGGTGAGTACTGTAGTTCTGGATTTCTTATATCCACTTATTTACATGCAGCGTAACGCTGAGGAAACAAAGCTCAAAGTTTCTTAGAGAATTCTCTTTGCTCACGAAGCCAAAATTAAAAGTTTTAGTCCTGCCTTTGGCCACCTGACCTGCTGTCATCCTTGGTGCTGGCGCTCACTGGGATGTCTGTGAGTATTAATGCCCTAGAATGGCAGGGAACTTCCCATTTCTCTTTGCTGTCATTGTAGTTTGCTATTTTACTTAGTTAAATTCAGGTTATAAAAGGGCCCAGCTTACCAGTGATGTCTGTCAGATGTTAAGGCCAGTTTTCAGATCACCAATCAGGTTTAATCTAAATCTTTCTGTTGAGATGGCACTGATGACCCCATTGTGGCTGTGCTGCCAGCAGGTGTTTCCTCTTAAAGTTGTCTGATGCAGGCTGTGCTGGTACACAGATGGTTAAAAACTGCTGTTTAATCCAGGGGATTACCTTTCTTCAGAGCCTTCTGAGAGAAACCTCTTGAGGGAATCCTGCTTGCTTAGAACATGCAGCAGATGGTTTGTTACTGCTGGATGCAGCCCTCCTTAAAAACACATAGCAGCTTTTGGTGCTGTGAATGAGAGCCACTTGTGAAAGCAGTGGGATAAGTAATATCCTGTTTTATGGAGTGTTCTGAACGCAAAAGGCTTGCAGCTTTATTGTGTTTCTAATGTATTTCTGTTCCATGTTTGAAGAGCCAAAGGTTACATTCATTGTAATGAGACTGTTCTGTTCCTTTAAATAACAAGTTTCCCAGATGAATTCCAGTTAGCACCTTGTCTTCTGTTCTTCTGCCTATGCCCTTTCCATTCTGGTACTGAAAATGCAGGCACCCCATTGCACTGAACCCCAGGTACCCTGAACTTATCAGATTGAAGTGATTAAAAACTGTAGCAGTAGGAAATGTTATTCCTGTGTCTCTCTTTATTCTTGACAGGCAACCTGCAGACTGACAGACACAGCTGGATCAAGCTGAATTTGTTTTTGCCAAACCCATTGGCCCAGTTTTGCAGTGGAGGTTTGATTAATCAACACAGGGACTGTACCTGTGATCTGCAGCATCTGTGCACCCAGGGCATGCTGGACTGACTAGGAAGGAAGCTCATTAGGCCTAAATAGAGCAACAGACTTCTAGGCAGCACTGTGGTGGGGTGGTAGAGAAGCTTCCTTGGGCTGGATGCTGCTGGGTATGGCAGGAGCTGCCTGGGAGAATGTCTCAGGATGGGTGTCAGGAAGGGGAGGTGGTTTTGGCCATGGGTGGAAGAGGCAGTGCAGGGCAGCTGTGCACTGTGATTAGCTAGATTACCAGCTCCACGTCAGGATCAGCAGTCTTTGACCTCAGCACTGGGACTGCTTAGGTAGGGGGGGCAGGGAAGGCTGCTGGTGTGAAAAGCTGCTCCCAGAGGGCTATGCCTTCTGTGGGTGCCCTATTTCTTAATAAGTTTCCTCTCCTCTTCTGTGGATTGTTTTCAGTAGCTTTATGCTGTATTTTTAAAAGAAAAAGACATTTACCTTCCAGATTTTGCATATATTTCATTGTTGTTGTTATCATCATTATTAATTTATAAGCTTCCTTATTAGATAACATTTGATTAAACTTACCAGAGCTGCCAATAACTTCTTGAAGGAAATTAGACAAGAGTTTACAAGTTCAGCAGGTGCATTCCATTTAAAGAAACTGGACACAGGTATCAGTCTTAAACTGATTTAAAGCTGCTACACCTGGGCAGTTACTGGCAGGCTCGGAGATGAGCAGGGGAGGTGTGGTGCCTGTGGCTCTTAGTTACCCTGTACAAGAATGATGATACCTGTGTGTTGGCAGAAACAGAACTGGTATTTTTTTTGAAGCATATCAGTGCTTTGAGAGCATATAAAGAACTTAGTGGTGAAATAAGCAATGTCTGAGGGTTGTTCTTGGACGTAGCCTTTTGAAACCTGAAGTTATTAGCTTTATTATATAAGATAAAAGGTTAAATCAGAAAAGTCTGGTGCTTTAAATATCTTTTTCAAAGTCTGTATAATCTGGTGTGGGCTAACTGTAATGACATAATCCAAAAATAGCCAATAGTCTTCCCTTCAATGCTCATCCTTGCTGCAGTTCTGCAGCTAAAGAATGGCAAATGCTAAGCTGCTAAGGATGTTAGAGGACATAACCATGTCTGTCTGTGGCTCAGGGGACACCTCGAGGGTCTTGCATGTCTGATTGTGGAGCAGGAGGTTAAGTCAGGTTCCAGCAGTAGGGTTTATCTAGCATATATATTAAATGTTTGATTCACAACTTGATGTTATTACAGGGGAGATTGCCTCCTCCCAAAGCAGGCAGGTGTTCTCTCTCTCTCGGAGTAGCACTGGCCTAGTTCTGCTGGATTTTGGCTAAAGGATTCTGCTGTGCCTGGTTTCAGAGATAAGATGAGGTTTTTTGGAGGTGGTTGTGTTTTTTCTTTTAATGTATGGAGTGCATGCAATGGAGAATGCAAAAAAAAAGCCCTGGTTAAGGAATTGGAACTTTGAGTTCACCTCTGTGGTGCAGAAAGCAGCATCCATCTAAGAGCAGCCTGTCTGTTGTCCAGTTACTCATGTAGGTATTATTGGGAGTAAATAATAGTGAGACTAAGAAAGGTAATGAAATAGCAATAGGGATGTGTGTGTGATTCTTACAGCTATACCTCAGCTGTTGATTTTGAGTTTCTTTTTTTAAAGAGTGGAGTTGAGTACGTACAGCATTGATTGTGGGGTGTGTGCTCTGTGCTGAGAACTGTTGTTTTTGCTGAGAATTCCCTGATTTTTTTTTTTTTTTTTTTTTGGCAACCTTTATACTTCCACATATGTTAAGAACCTTTTCTCTTCAAAGCCCATTAAGATCTAAAACATGAATTTTCACATAAGTTTCTTATCCCAAAGCCTCCAATTTCAGGGCTGATTTGTTTAAGGTCTGTGCTCCTTCTGGTTTAAGCATTTATTGATCTCATCTTTTTTTCTTTTTTTGGCAGGGACATTTCTCTGTTCAGGTTAGTCCAAGATGGCAGACCAGAGGCAACGCTCGCTGTCTACCTCTGGGGAGTCATTATACCACGTGCTGGGACTGGACAAGAATGCTACTTCTGATGATATTAAGAAGTCATACAGGTAAAGTTTCAAGTCTTCCATGTATCACCCAATAAAACAAATATCTTTAAGTGTTCAGCAGATGAGGCGTTTCTATATAGGCTCCAGTTGATTTATTTAAAATCTGTGAGAAAAGCATGCAAGAAAACAGAGGGGAAACATATGGTTTGTTTTTACAGAAGTTGCATGGAGCCGTTGTCACTGACAGCATTTGTATGTAAGAGTTGGGACAGATAAAATGTAAGGAAATATTTAACAAGTGAAATTCTCCATTGTGCAGTATCATTCTGAAAAGTCTTTAGATAAAATTGAACAAAGCTGTAGGAGTGCCATCAGAATTAAGTTCTTCCTTTGTGTTATGTAGCTCTGTGTGGGTTTAGAGACCACAGGTGGGCAGTCCTGCACTTCTGCCCATCATTTTGAGTTCTGGCACGGTGAAGCATAGATTAAAGATGTAAATAAGAATGAAAACTGAGTATCAGCAGTGATTTCTTTTCTAAAGCCACGTTCAAAATGTCTTTTGACATTTTGAAAATGTCCGTGGAGTTATTTTTTAAAGAACATTTTTCTTACCCCTTTTTCTTAGTTACACGGAATGGTTTCACATTTATTAAATGAACAACAAAGAGTTGTCTTCCCATCCTTGCTTCCTTCCTACCTTCCCTCCAAACCTCCAATGCAATCTCTTCTTTGCTGTAAGAGTGAGCTGCAGTCATGCTGGGTCTACCTGGGCAGTGGCAGTGTGTTTAACATCACACTAGGTGTCAGCAGTCATCTTCACTTGAGGTTACTCCTTTCAGAAGTTTTGTTTTAATCTTCAGTGTTTAGCAAAACTTTTTCCTTTCAAAGCCACTTTTTCATGCCACTAGCAATTACTGAGTGAAATGTATGAATAAATTGGTCCAGATTTAGCTGTGTCTTCCTCAAGTCCTCCAACTGCACATTTGGGGCAATCATCTTCTAGCACAATGGACTGAAAAACACTTTTACCTCGTGGGGGGAAGACCTAGAAGACCTTCTCCTTTGGAAGAAGGGCACAGATGGATTCAAGGGGGATTCAAGAGCTGCCTCATTTATACCTGGAATTTCACCTAATCTTGTTGCCTCTTCTGCTCTTTTAGTGGCCACTTCTTGTTTTCATTCCATTTGATCTGGAACGTCCTTTGCTGGCCTGTGGGATATGGGATCTGTGTGTACATAGGAAATGTGACATGAAAAATATTTCTCTATCACAACCTGATAGTAGCTAGGTCCTCTCTAAGTTGACATACCCTCCCTCTAATTATGAAAACTGGTTATTTCAGTCTTCTCTGATCCAGTGGCACTTTTGGCAGCCTTTAATAATGTTATCTTCCCAAGCAATGTAATTTACAGCCTACAAATGTTTCAAGTGCACACTCACTTTACTGTTTGAGTGCTGTGGTGTTTGTGTGCACCCAAAGCTATGCTTGCACTAATCTTTATTGTACATTTATCTGAATATTTCCCTCCTGAGGAGCTGTGGTGTGCAAATGTCTGCAGGCTCTCAGTGTGTTTGCCAGACATGGGGCTCTCATGGTACATCCCTGCAGGTCACCTACCATTTTTGGTGGTGCAGAACTATTATTCTGAATCATTTTTCTCCTTCGAAGCACAAATGACTCAAACTGCAATCGTGCAGTCAGGAGATGCCTGGCCAGTACTGATTTCTTGTATTGCTTGGGCTGTGTCTGAATTTGCAAATTTATCAGTGCTTAATCTGAGTTTTTGTGCTGTGTTCAGTGATCTCTGGAGACTGCAAACTGCTGTCACGTAGTTGAAAGAGATCTAGAAGGATATGGGGAGATGCATTGTGATTTCCTGAAGCTGGTTCTATTCTAGCTAATCTTGCACTGAAGTGCCTTGTACCTGCACAGCAACTGGTGAATTAACCACAAGTGGTTCTGTTCTATTTTTGTGTTGAGACACTGTAGATGAGTAGTTGTAGCTTGCTTCTCTTTGTTCTTTGATGCTGTATCTGAGACTCGTGGTGTGTTTCTTTTCTGTTAGCTTGGCCTTTGCTTTAGCAGGAGCAAAACTTGCTTATGGAAATCTCTGGAGCTGAGGGGTAAAGTGCTTTCTTCTTGTCTTCAATATCCTAATTTTTTCCATTGGATTTCCAAGGGTGCTGTCCAACACTGACATCAAACCTGTGAGTTAAGCTAGACAGTGCTGTAGCATTTTGGAATCAACAGGGAAGTGAATCAGAAATGAACAAACTCACTTGGGGAGATGTTCTCAACTGGCACTTGGAAGTTTCTCTTCAGTGACAAGCAGTGGAACTGAAAAAAAAAACCCAACAAAACAAAACCAAGAACCCAAATCCCAGCATCTAATCTATAATCTCTTTTTGCTTTTGGCAGGAAACTTGCACTGAAATACCATCCTGATAAAAACCCTGATAATCCAGAGGCAGCAGAAAAATTTAAAGAGATCAATAATGCACATGCAATATTGACCGATGCGACAAAGAGAAACATTTATGATAAATATGGCTCCCTGGGTCTGTATGTAGCAGAGCAGTTTGGAGAAGAAAATGTGAACACATACTTCGTGCTATCTAGCTGGTGGGCAAAGGTAAATTTAAGCACAAAGAAAAATGGTTCTGGATTGGCATTTAAAATGCTTCAAGTAGTCCATTTGAAAACCGTTTGTTTTCACTTCTGGAATTTGCTTTCTGTCCTCTGCAGGCCTTGTTTGTGTTCTGTGGGCTCATCACAGGCTGCTACTGCTGCTGCTGTCTGTGTTGCTGCTGTAATTGCTGCTGTGGGAAGTGTAAACCTAAACCTCCTGAAGGCGAGGAGCAGGAATACTACGTCTCTCCAGAGGACTTGGAGGCACAGTTGCAGTCAGATGAAAGGGGTAAGCAATGCAGGGTGAGGTTTGTAGGGTTGTAGAACCTCTGCTATTCAGAGTGTGTCAGTCCCTGACTGAGGGCTCAGCGTGCTGTGTGAGAAGCAATGCCTGCTTCCTAAGATCAGCACAGGTCCCTGCAGGGGAATAACTGTAGCACAAGAGTTGAAACAGTTGTGTGGGTGACACTGGCACCAGAAATTCAGTTGCTGAAAACTGCCGCTGGGTCTTCGCTGAACGTGGTGAGGTCAGCTTCAGAGAAATGGGTGAGTGTTGTGGTTTAACCCAGCAGCAGATAAATGCTGTGCAGCCATTTGCTTGCTCCCACCACAGCAGAATTGGGGGGGAGAGAATTGGAGAGCACAAGATTGAGATAAGGATGGGTTAATAAGAAAAGAAAGAAAAAGGGGAGAAAAAGAAAAGAAACAACAAGGACAATGGAAATAAGCAAAGCGAGTGATGCACAGTGCAGTTGCTCACCCCCTGACAATGGTGTTATCAAAGCATTGCAGAGGGAGGTACCTTATGCTTACCAAAGAACACTGTTCTTTTTTTTCTCTGCCTTGGCATACTAAGCCTTTTGTCTTTGCTTTTCAGAGGCCTCAGACGCACCTATTGTGATACAGCCAGCATCAGCCACAGAGACAACCCAGCTCACAGCTGACTCTCATCCTAGCTACCACACTGATGGATTTAATTAAGTTAAGGAAACACTGTAATTAGAATGGATTAAAAAAAAAAAATACATGGCCAACTCAACACTAGAATCATGAACATTAGAAGTAGAGAATGGGGAGGGGGAAAAATTCTGCCACAGTTAGAAGGCAGCTTTCCAACCTGCTGAAAGTATTTTGTAATCCCTTCAGCCTTTTGTCACCTTTCAGTGTCGTATCTTGATGATACCTGAAGTGCTGTAGCATGCAGTATGTAAAGCAGTTTAGCTACGGTCTTATGTTTCCTTTCTCTTCCTTTTTTTTTTGGTTTTTTTTTGGTTTTTTTCTTTTTTTTTTTTAAATAGCATGTATGGAGTTACGTTAAATGTCTGTGGTGTAATGTATTGAGTTGTCACAGTATGTGTGATGGAGACATTCTGCATTTTAAGCAGTGATACTGGCCTAAAATGAGACTTAAAGTTTCACAGGAGCCACCATACTTTCATACAGCCAAGCTGTCAAAGACCCTTAAAAAAATTCATTATTTTTATTTGGGTGCAACAAGCCAATTCTCTTATTCCTCCTTCTATTCCTGCGTTGCTACCTAAGCAAGTTTACAAAGCCAAGAACCAAAAAATGTCAGTCCTGCAGAGCTAGAATTCTCTTTTAATGCTGGTTTACAGCTTAAATAAATACACCTTGAAAAACAAGAAGGGAGAGTTTCCAATCTTTGAACAATTAAATTGATCAACAGCTCTTCATGCACAAGGGTTATCTTCAGTGATGGTGTAACCACAAACTGTGGTTTGTCACAAAGGCAGCTGTGAATGGGTTTAGTGGTGGTGACAGTGGGACTTTAACTTCAAGCACAATTCTGTTCTGGTTTGAGTTCAATCCTTTTCCTGAAATGCTAAAGACCAAATAGTGCAGCTTCTTTGAATGCATGAGAATCTTAAAGTGAAACTGGTTAATTGGTTTTCACTGAGCAAGTGAGTAAAATACAGGCAGTAGGTGACAGCATAAATGTTAATAATTGTGGTTTATTTTTTTTTTTTAATTTTTGTCTAACAATCTGAGATACTGATAGACAAGTGAGGTATTACATGTTGTTTTTTAAAGTTGTTATAATATGTTAGCCCTTTAATTTTCTCATGAGCATCTTTGTGGAGTACTGAAATGGCTTTTTAAGAACAAAACACTTTTTATGTTGATGTTGTATGATTTGCACATTGTCTTACCTTTAGACTTGTTTACACCAGTGTTCTTCTTTCCCTCAGAAAAGCGGTAGGGAAACGATTGAAAAGTTTCCTGAGCTATTTTGAAGCCAAATCGTGTTTGAATACTGCTTTTGAAACAGCTGTTCATTGGGATTTAACTGATAAATAGGCATTTTAGCTGCTGAATTGCTGGCATGTTTTGTTATTAATAACCTTGTTTTAAATGATACGGAGTTGGAATCTGGAACAGCAACTCGTAAGCTTACACATGGCATGTTTAGCAGTTAATTGCCTTCTCCTTAATTTGATCTTAATGGTTTTCTATCACAATGCCTCTCCTTTCCTTTGTACCTCCATCTCCCCTTCCCTGTTGGTCACCTGTCTCTGTGGAGAGGCTATTCACAGCCTTCCATCCCAGGTTTCATTTGAGGTCTTTCATGCTGCTCTTTTACAAGATACAGGTGTTACTTGGGAAGGGGGGCAAAGAGCACTGTCAGTCTGTAGGAAACAGCCAGAACACGAGGGGGGATCTCCTGCCAGAGAACCATCCTGAACATATTTTCACTCCACCTCTGCATGAGCTGCACATGGCAGGGCACACCAAGTGTGACACAAAGCCACACCGAGCAGAGCGTTGTCACTGCAGTCTGGGTGCTGAGTTGGAACACGTGCACTGTGAGATGTGTGCTTTGGGTACCGACACAATTATTGCCTGCATGTGAGCCTGTTGCAGATAGGGATGCTTTTGGTGCCATGTCAGCTTCCAAAGATTCAAAACACTCCTAATTTACTGACTAGATGGAAGTGGCACACTCGTTAGGTAATTCCTTCCTTGTTGGTAGTCCTTCCATCCTGAAATGCAGTGGATTACTGGAAGATGCTTCTAACTCAGAATCTCTCTCTCGGGTGGCCTTGAGGACAGCAGTGCATTATTTGGCTCAAGGTCCTTATTTAATTAAAGCTTTTGTTTGACCCCTTAAAAAAGAAAGCAGTTTTAAAGCTTGAATAGCATCACGTTGGCTGTCCTTGTAGGCTTTGCCTGATGCCACGTCTCGATGTTGAGCTGCACGATGATCTGCAGGCTTCCTCCCTCAGAGCTGGCTGGCTAAAATTGCCCTTACAGGCTGCATGGGTCACTTCATGTTGTTGGTAACAGAGCTGGTAGTGCTTTGTAGCTGTGTAAATGAGTGTGTTGGTGTGGCTGGGTCGGTAGAACGAGCAGAAGGAAGTTAACCCTGTGTGCTGTGTGTAATGCTCCCTGTGTCCATCCAGGTGTGTAGCAAGGACCAGCTGTGTAGGACTGCTGACAGCAGAGCTGACGTGTGGAGGCTGAGGTGATACCTTTCTCTGTGTTTTGCACTACTTGAAAAAGGTGATATCCAGGATAAGTGTGCTGTTTGTGTTCTTTAAGAGCTGCTGCGTTCCTTTCAGCTGTTCTGTGGGTGGTGTGTGAATGGCAAGTTAGTCCTGTCCTGTTAGTGCTGGGTGCTCCAAGGGGAACTGCACAGGGGAATGAGAGAAAACACGTTTTTAAGTGATATTTTTTGAAATGGTTTGTTTGCCCACATTACCCTGAAACCTCTGAATTTAAAGTTATTAATGTACTTCTTCCTGAATTGTATAAGGAATGGGTGAATGCCTGCTTGGTTGTGTTGTTGGAGATAAGGTATAAGAGCATCCTGGGCTCTAACGTGAGTTGCACTTCAAAATGGCCAAATGTAATCCCAGTAAAGATAAAGTTGTGCTGGAAATAATGGTTAACAAATGTGGTGTGGCTCGGGGTGTGGGCTGGTGGAGCTACCAGATGCAAAGCAGCAGAGCCTGGCGGGCACCAAGCCCTGCTCACTGCTCATACACAGAATAGTTCCTTCCAAAGCTCCACCTGAGCACTGCCACTCTCTGCTCAGCCTGTTGCCAGAATTAAAACTTGAGCTTTGATTTCTGTTGTTGTTGTAGGTTATAAAGGTCGCATTCCTGTTAGTTTGTCGTTTGTTTTGTTTTATGAGTTGCCTGACACCTCCGTGTCAGCAGCCCAACCTCCTCCCAGTGCACAGAACCACTTGGCAGCACTTTTCCTGGCACTGCCCTGCAGTCCTTCTCCTCATGCAGGACGGCCCCCGGGAGCCCCTCTGCATGGCTGCAGGGCCCAGGAGGAGAGGGAGCTGCTGCTCTGGCTGGGGATGCCCGGCTGCACTCTCACTTGAAGCAAACAAAGGGCATTAGATGCCAGTTTCATTTAGTTAGTGACGTATGTAGGATATTCTGAATTATTTATCTGTATATAAACTTAAGTGAACCTCAGTGGTGTCCGATCCGGTGTAGATTTCTGCTGATACCACACAGTGATGTTTTCTAGCCACGTTCCCTTTTTAGTCTTATTTTTAAATTTGTAATATTTTTAAACTGCTTTAGATATTAGTGCTCATTGTGTTGGTAATGTGTGATGCTGGTCAGGGCCGGGCTGCACACAGCCTGCACCCATCTGAAGGAGGTGTGAGCAGCTGTCCTGCAGCAGTGCTGTGGGATGGGTAGGCTTCTCCCAGCCCTCTGTGTCAGAGCCTATAAATGCATACAGGTGTTCACAGGTGGGAGCCTGGCAGAAAATACATTCCTGTCCCATTCTTAAAGTTGTGTGGTGTAGAGGGACCCAAGTGTGCTTTTTCAGGCTGTGTCTCAGAGCACTGTGCTCCATGAGAGGTGCTCTGTTCTCATGTAGTTTGTGCCCACGGTCTCTCTGGTGCCCTTCAGTGTTACTGACATTTCTGGCTCCTTTAGGACGTGTCAATGCTGTGGTTCTCCCCACTCAGTGCAACTGGACGTGATGTTGAGCAGGAGGTTCAGGACTGATGGCACTCAGCAGCCCCTGCCTCGTGTTCTTAATTCCAGATGCTGTCTCTGTGCATTAATCTTAGAATCTGAGCACTGGTACATAACCCCAGCACCACTGTGTGTAGTGTAAGGTTGGTGTAAGCTTAACTTGCTTCCTCGTTTGGTGCTGCTTATCTGTATTATAGTGGAAATCATCTAGTAGTGTACTGCTACACCAACAGCTGCTTATAACACCCTGAAAGAAGTGTAACTCTTAGCTGACACAGTGGCAGAAGTTGTCAGTGCCCAAGTCCTGCAGGAACTGTTCTGCTCCATGCACTGTGCTCAGAGCTTCAGTGCTGGGACCGAAATGCTCCTTGCATTCCAGAAGGATGTGTTCTGTGCCAGAGGGAACTGCTGGGGAAGCTGTCTGTCTTTTATGTTTGCACAAGCCAAATGCCATACATCTGGAAGACAAACTTTTGTTTGAAAATAAGATGCCAATGTTAACGTGAGCAATGGATTTCCTTGTTTCAAGGATAGATGCTGGCAATTTCTGGTGGTTTTATATATATGTATATGTGTAGAGGAAGCTCTTATATAAAATGGCCATTCTTCTTTGAGTGCTGTTGTCTTCTCTGCTCTTTCCCTCACCACCAGCAATGTGGGTGTATTCTCGTGGTCTGTAGCAGTTGCTTACCATGCTGTCTGTACAGTGATGGCTTCCAAGCAGGGTGACATCTGAGCTCTGCCAACATCCCTCAGCCCCGACCTGCTTGACAGGAGCTGGGCTTCACCGTTCTGGCTTTGCTTTATGGAAGGAGCTGAAACCCAAGGGCGATACTGGAAGAACTTTGGCTTGTGCTGCTGGTGTGTGGGATGTTTTAAAGGTGGTTGAGAGATTCATCTCTGGAGGTAACTGCATTGGGTTTTTTTTCCTATGCCAGTTCTCAGCACATTGTACTCACAGAGCGGGAGTCAGCTCACAAACCTGTGCTGTAGGTTTTGGATTGCAGCATCATGTGTGTATGTATGTATATATGCACATATGTACATATTTATACAACAGGTGTGCACCCAGTCCTTGCTGCTGTTTTTCTGTGATGGTAAAACACTGAATTTGGCCCCAAGTCCTTCTCACAGACAGACAGGTTTTGTGTGTCCAGAGCTGTGCTTCCTCCTTTCAGCTGCAGGGAACACCAGATGGGATCTGTGGCTGATGGAGGAAACGATGGAAGGCTCCTGTTGTATAAATAGGTGATACAAATAGGAGAGCTGTCTGCTTGGAAAGGGAAAAGCAGCCTTCTACCCTGGAAGCCTTCCCTCCTTGTTGGGGTGAATGGAGATGTGACCGTCGGCGCAGTGTGGTCTGTGGCTCAGTCTGTAGTGCTCACAGGTTGGATTTGTAGGACTTGGAGCTGTTGCACACCATAAAACTGAAGTTAGGTGGTGATCTGTGCAGGGGCACAGCTGGATGCAGGGGGGGACATGTGGGGACTGCTTGTGGGGTGGGGGGGAACCAGTGGCTGAAAGTAAGAGACTGTAAAAAAATAATAATAATAATAATAAAAACTTACAAAAAAAACCCCACAATCAAAGTATAAATGCATCTGAGAAGCAATTATAATATAGACATATATATATTTTGTTATGTTACTAAAGGACCATACTTTGAATTGTATGTAAGTAGATGTGGCTGTCAGAACTTTGTGGATTGTAACACTGGATACTACTGAGCTCCTGTACATACCTGCAGTTACAGCAGAAGGAATTATTTTATGTTTTAGCATGGTAATTTGTGTATCGTATGTCCAGATAGAAACTAAAATAAAGATTGCTAAGTTATCTGAAACCACTGTTGTAAAATAAATGTTTTCAATGCAGAAATCCGTATGGGCTTTTTTCTTTCTGTATCTGTTTGGGATCGGGGTGCAGGGATCCTGAATTGATGACAACGTGGGAGGAGGGGTGCTCTGTAGGTGTGACCATAGGGTTGCATGGATGCTGTGTTGCCTATGTGAAGTTTGCTGGGATATTTTTGTGCTCCTGAGATGGGAATTGAGAACTGTGTGGGGCAGTGTATGCCTAGGGAGCTGTGTGCACCTGGTTGTGTATGTGCTCACCCTCCTACCAGTGCTGGATGCTGCAGCAAAGTGCTATTGATGCATTCCAGGTGAGTGCTGTTGCAACCATAGCTGTTTGTTTTTTCTTTTTATGTGTTTGTTGTTCTTTTTTAACCAACAGCCAAATTCTGGAGGATCAGCTTCTTTATTTCCTGCTTCAAAGTGGGCAACGACAGCTCTGCCCCTGGACAATGTGCTGAATGGGAGAAGGATCCCACAGAGCATCCTTCCCATCCTGCCCTCCAGCCCCATGAAGTGAACCCACCCAGCCTCCAAGAGAAGGCAGCTGGGGGTGAGTGCTGGGGTTGTTGGGAGTTGGGGGGAGCAGAAGCTCAGCAGGGTGGGGTCACTGCATTTAGAATTGTTTTCTATCAGGGGACTTTGGTTCTTTTGGGTTGACCGTTTCTCCTTTGGCCTCTTTGCTCATTGCTCTGGGGTGGGTATCACAGCTGTGTGTGATGCTCAGAGCTCTGTTCAGCATGAATCTTGGTGCTGAGCAGCAGCCCTCCTGCAGGGCAGGCTCCCACCTGCCCCTGGGCTGTGCAGGGCTGCCTGCCTTGGCCCACTGGACCCCGTGGGCTGTGAATTCCCCTTTGCTGGGAAACCACACGCAGTGTGGAGTGGGCACAGAGCAGTCACAGCTGCACACAGCCCTGCTTTGGCTGCTTTGCAGTAAGGACAGGTTGAGCTGTGATGTGCACATTCCTCACTGCTGCACATGCTCATCACCTGAGCTTTTCATTTCTGCTCTCATCCCCAAAGCACCGCTCCCTCGCTGTCCCCCAGAGGTCCCACCTGTCCCCACACAGAACCCCACCTTGGTGCAGGGTTCAGGTGCTCAGCCCCATTCTGATGCACCCCAAACCCCGGCTCTTCCCCCTCCCCCCCCCACGTGTGTGACCCCAAACGGCGCAGATTGCTTTGAGATCAGTGAGGGTGCAATGCTGGGCTCTCAGTGGTGCCTGCATCCCTTTCAGCAGCTGGAGCTGTGTCTGTGTGCCCACACGTTTCAGTGCCCCCTGTCCCATGGATGCCCACACAGTCCTCCCCATGCCCTTTTCCCCCTCCCCAGCACCTCCCAGTGGGGACATTTCCATTTTTCTGGGTGAGTTTTGCATGCTCTGCTGCTGGAGCTGCACAGCCATGCACAGGGGTTGTGCGCTGACCCCCAACCCCCTTCCAACATGCACACTCCATCTTCCTGCAGCGTGGATGGGTGAGTGGGGCTCTAGGGAGCGAGCTTGGAGCACATGTGGACATCCAAAATGTGGGTCTGAGGGGCACGGGGAGGGAGGCACCGCGGGGTTGGGGTGGCCTCGGTCCCCAGCATAGGGTGAGATGCTTTAATCCCGCCCCATTCCCCACTCCTGCCCTGGGAATCCCCTTTGTTCCCCCGCCCGGGTATGTCGGGACCCAGGCAACCCCCCCGCACGGAAAGGCGACGCCGCCACAGCGCGGGGCAGCACCGCAGCGGGGCAGGTGCGAGGGAGACTTTAATGCGCAGCAGCAGCAGCGGGAGCACCGCGCGGGGTGGGGGGGTTCCGAGGGAGGTGGAGTGGGGATGGGGGGGTCCCCGCTTCGCTGCTCCGGGCTTCGTCCCCTCCGTCCGTTAGGACTCCTCCCGTCACTTCCCTATACTCTGCAGCAGCAGCTTATTGCTGAGCGCCTTCTGCGCCAGTCTCTCCTCCCGGGACATCTCGAGAAACTCGCGCAAAAGGTGGAAGGTGAGGTCAAGAGAGTTGGGTTTTCCTTCTCGTCTCTTCCCTGCTTGCAGCGCACGCGGGGCTCGGGGGGGGTCCGGGCCGGGCGCTGCCCCCCGCGGTCGGCACAGTCCGTGGGGGGGGCGCGGGGCGGACGGCTCCCAGCGGGGCTGCAGCGGGGAGCAGCTCTCCGAAGGCAGGAAGAGCAGCACGAGGACGGAGGCAGCCGAAATCATCCTGAGCCTCATCGCAGCCGCTCCGGGTCCGGGGGAGGGGGTGGGGGACCGGATACCTGCAAAAGAGGTCCCCCCCGCCCCCAAACCCCCCGCGGCCCACCCAACGCTGCGGTCAGGGCGCACCCGACGGGATGAGCACCGCGGGGGGACCCCCCGCCCCGAAGAGTGAGAGCCCCCCCACCTGCAGGCGGGATCCCACCCCGGCAACTGGAACCAAACCCCCGCTAACGCGACCCGTCCTCTGGGAACGGGACAGCCGTGACCACCGGACGGGACAGCCGTGACCACCGGACGGGACCCCCACCAGCACATGCGGGACCCCACCACCCAGACACGGGACCCTCACGTTTTAGAGGTAGGTCATGCTTCAGGTTCACGGCACTCCCGGCATAGGACACCCCTCCCCGCCTCCCCCTTCCCCCCCCCCGGGAACCGGACCCCCACACCTCCCATGGGGGCTCAGGACCCCCTTCCCAGGAGCGGGGCTGGTGGGGGGTTGGCGGGATGCTCACCGCTGCCGCTGCTCCGCCCGCAGCTCCCGCTGCCCGCGCCGCCCGCCCGCTCCGCGCTATATAGGGGCGGCGGCACCCCCCCCCCCAGCCCCAACACCCACCCCGCCACGTGACCGCGCTATATCGGGGCGGCGGCCCCTCACGTGACACCGGGCGGGGAGCTGTCCGTAGTGCTGAACGACCGCGGGGGTACAGGGGGCACCTGGGGGCGTGTGGGGAGGGGGGAACGTGGAAGCACATAGGGGTGCCTGAAAGGGAACGTTGTGGGTACGTGAGGGTGGAGGGGTGAGTGCTTAGTCGGGGGGACGTGGGGTGGTGGTGGGGAGGTGCCCATGGGAACACGTGGGGCTGTCGGTGGGTGTCTGCGGATGTGGGGGCACAGGGGATGGTGGTGAGATGCAAACGAGGGCGTGTGGGTGGGAGGTGTTGGAGAGAATTTGGTCGTGGGGACACGTGGAGGTGTGAAGGGTGAGCACTTTTTGTGGGGTCCATAGGAGTGGGAGAGGGAAAGAGGGCTGAGTGCCGGTGGGGGGGTACATGGGGTTGGAGGAGAGATCAAGGGGTGCCAGGTGTGAGCACTGCACCTGAGCCCCCTCCCATGCTGTGCTCCTGGACACGGACCCATACCAGGCCCCCTTCTCCCCCCCCAAGCCCAGTGCCCGGGCTGGATCTGCTCTGCATTTCATGGGCAAAGTTTCTATGCGCAAAGTGAAGACAGTGAGCTCCTTGGGGTGAGTCACTGTGTGAGAGCATACAGCTTACAACTTTACTTCTGATACACTTCTGAAGTGCAATATTTCTTCTCTAATAGAGCACAAAATATGTTCTCCTCCTGGCCTTGTTGCTGCACACAGATACGCACCTCCAGCTGCAGGTTGGAGTCATTCGTTTGCCTTTTCCTCCCTCCCTGCTGGAGCTTCCATCAGCTGGCACTTGGAGCTCAGCAATCACTTCATCTTGCAGAAGTGCTGCCTCTAAAATTAAAATTCCTGTATGAGGTATCAATGTTTCAAGCGAAGGGAAGAAAAACATTAAGTAGAACTTGAGTGCGCAGTGAGAAACTCTCCACTCATGCTCTGTGCAGAGCAACTCAAAAATGAGGGCTCGGCTGCTTTTCGGGGGGGTCAACCCAAAAGGCCAAAGGATTCTTTGAGGTTGCATTAAGGGGGCTCTCCATGACCCCCAGCTACAAAATAACTCATGGCAGAAGCTGAGTGGTCTCGAGGGCCGGAGGGAAGGGGAGCATCTGCTTCCCCCTCACTTTGTGCATGGTTCTCTAAATTTCTTTATTGAATCATTGAGAACGGCTGCATTTTTCGGTTCTTCACCTAGGCTTGCACCAAGGCTGGGCTGGGAGCAGACAGAGCTGTTTCGTGCCTCAAAGCACATCCCCCAGGGCTGCTCCCGGGCTTTTCCCTGTTCTGATGGCCACTGAGCACCCCCAGGAGCCCCTAGGAATCAGGCAGTGGTGTTTTGGGGCCTCTCTGCCCCCCAGCCGATGGGAATTGGCTCAGGCACAGAACGCTGCCCTGTCACAGCCGGCGGTCAGCTCGGTTCATCCATCACCACAGCCAGTGCTGGGGCTGGTGATGCTTTGGACCCTTTTTCTTTCGGTCCCCGTGCTTTAGGATTCGTCGCTTAACTGTTGGAAAGATGACGAAACTGGTAATTGCATCTTGTTTGTTTTATTTAGGAAGCTCAACTCAGAAGATATATAAAAAAAAAAATAATAATTTCTTCTTCCATCATAAATTACTGACACATTCAGTGCTGAAGGACCCCGTGTGCCGCCTGGGGACTCATTATTGTCACTCACAGGGATGTCACTGTCTCTTCCTCTGCTCAGGAGCCATGCGGTAGCGATGCTTCAGGGATGCCAGGCTCACCCCCAGCTCCGCTCATTGCCTCGTGCCGGCGTGCAGCCGTGGCCTCACAGCAGGGAAGAGGCAGAGCAGCTCCTAATGAGGCACTGGGAGCACTGCGAGCCTCTTGGCTCGTGAGCAGAGAGCCGCAGTCGGGAGCTCCTGCCCTGTGGACCGTGACAGCTCCGGCGCTAAAGCACAGCCAAGCTTCCAGAAGCTTCTCTCAAAGAATGCTGCTGCTTATCTCTGTTCCTGGTACGTGTTCTGCTCTTTCCCCATCCCATCCCCACCCCACAAACGGCCATGCCAGCGCTCATGCATTTTTCAGAAGTAATGTTCCCTGCATCCCTGGGGCTGCGGGGACGGCGCTGCCCATCCTGCTCTGGAAAAGGCATCTCATGGGCTGACGAACCTGAGATTGACCCTCATGTTTCACCATTCTCAGGTTAGACAGTCCTCGAGGTGCCCCTCGCTCGGGCAGCCACCGCCCCATGCCCTGCATCCTGTGTCTTGCACCCACCCAGATCCCCCATCTATAGGGATTGTGCAAGAGAGAGCAGAGACGCAGCCCCTCAGCTCTGCTGTGCCTCAGCTTCTCTGCATCCGTGCCTGACCACGAGGTTCTTTAGGGGCTGACCCCTTCCCAAACGCATGCCGTGCTTCCTCCTGCGAGCAGTGGTGGTGAAAACCTTTGCACAACCAGAATGCGGGGCTAAGAGCCAGGCTGCTGCATGCTGCATGGAGCCAACACCTCCCAAATAGGCACAGAGCAGCTCAGACCCACAAATACCCATCTGGCTATGGGTTGGGACAGAGATGGAGCAGCAGATTCCCTTCCTTTGCTCCCATTTGCAGATGGCAGCACCCTGGGAGCATCAGAGCACTTCTGCAAGACTCGCCTGAAATCTCTCACCCAAAATCTGCAGAGATGCTCTGCAAGATTTGTACCAGGTAACGGTTGGAGTTCAGTTTCCTAATGCTATGGGGTGCTTAAAATTGCTTCTCTGGGGAGCGGCTCTCATGGCAGAGTGATTTGCCTAATGCATGGACGGAGGAATATTAAAACTTTGACAATTAACTGCATAATCAAAGGGAAGGCTTTTTCAAGTTGAGCACCGTCAATGCAAAGCCCGTTCAGGCCCAGGAAGCTGTCAGAAAAGGCACCAAGGAATTAGCAATCGGTTTCAGTCCCTTCTGGATTTCTTGCTCCATTTGGGTCCTATCACCTTCCCCCGTGCTCTGGCATGGACAGAGCCAGGTGCGTCCCTAGGCATGTGAGCTAGGCTGTTCCAATGGAGCAGTGGATTTGCCTGGGGTCAGTAGAAGAGAAAACTTTTAGGCAGAAATTAAGGGCACTGCAGAGCCACAACTTTATCCTCTCAGTTTACTCTATTTCAAATCCACGATCAAGCTTTTGGGACTTTTTTAAGGCTTTGCAGGGAAGGAGAAGCCAAATGGAATGTGTAGCAGCAAGGCTGGGGTGGGGGGAAGGTCAGGCAGAGCAATGAAGGAGCAGCAGAGCCATCTCAGCCTCATGCAAGAAGGAGCCCAGCAGAAAGAAGCAGGGAGAGCTTCTAAGAGGAGGGGGAAACCAGCTGTGCAGAGGGGAGTGCTGCCTTACCTCTCACCTGCAGCTCCCAGCTCCATCCCTCCGCCCACTGCGCTCGCACCGCTTTTATGGCCGTCCCTGTCCTCGTGGCTCGGAGGAGTCAAGCCGGGCTACAGCGAATTGCCACACTTTCTGCTGGCTTCCTGTTTGTGCATCGCGAGCGGCTGTGGTAAAATTTCCATTACACGCTGGACAGACACAGGGCGGCAAAGAGAAGTGAAAAAAAAATTCAAAAAAAAAAAAAAAAAAGCACCCAGCCCAATGCAGTGCGACACTGCTTGAGTCACCCGAAAGCGGCTGTGTTAGGGGAGGCTGTGTTAGGGGGATGGAGGGATGCTCTGGGTGCCCCCTTCCCAGCCCTGGAGGCACAATAAGTCAAAGATTTTCATTTCTGACCCCGCCACCAAAACCTGTGTTTCCTAATTGCTGCCCCTCTGAATGGGGGCAGAGTGCTGGGGTTGGACCCATCAGCCACATCCATCCACCCCATGGCAGATCCTCCAGCGAGGCCAGCAGCGGAGTGCAGTGCATCTCCTGCTCCTCTTAGCCTTAAGGTGTCGGATCTGGAGGGTATCCGACTTACTGTTATTCCTTGTTTTCCCTTGGCAGGCCAAGAAGAGCCATGCTGGCCGTAGAACATACAGTCTGCGGATGAAAAACAAAAGGAAAGGTTGAAAACTTGCTGTGACAGTGCTGGAGTGTCCCCAGATGTGAAGCACTGCGCTCCTCCTGCGCAGCCACAGCACTGCGTCCGTAGTGGGGACACGTGGCCCTATCCTGCTGCCTCTGCCATGGGCACTGACCATCTTGCTGCACCCAGCTCTGCTCCAGGCAGCGTTTCTCCCTTGCTCTCCCACCCAAGCTGTGCCCTGCTCCTTCCCCACGTGCCCTGACTCCCAGGTCTCACTTTTTTCAGGGGCTTTGGGTTTTTTTCTCCTTTGTGTTGGAGCTGCCCAGGAACCACAGGTTGCTGCAGGGACCCGCTGGTGCTGCTCAGCCCTTCTTTCTTGTACTGTTGCACAAGAAAGGAACGGAGAGAGTGGAGCATCTGCATGGTTTTTATTTGGTTTGAGTTTGTTTTCTTTCAGTTCATGGGAAGCAGAGGACGAACGCTCCAGATCCAACGTTTTCTCCTCATTTTGATGCCCCACGTTTTGGCTGCGGTGCGATGTGCCCTGCAGATTCAAGGCATGAGCAAAGCTGTGTGCTCCTGGTTGCAGCCCAGTGGGGAACCCCGCTCTGAACTGGGAAGTTGTGGCACTGCTGAAGGAGTCCCAGAACAGGGAGAACCTCCCCAAAGGGCAGCTCTGTAAGATCCCAAATGCTCAGAGCTTGTATTGTGGACGCAGTGGGGACTTCGGGTTTTGCCTATGAACTCTTTCCCAACGCTTTCTCTTCTTGCAATTATTCAGTTTTGGGGACAGTGGGGGAAAATTTGCATTTCTTTGTCTGTTTTTTGTAAAAAAAAAAAAAAATATATATATATATATATGTATATGTATTATAAATGTCTTTGCTTTTTATAAATGTCTCTGCGGTGAGCAGATAGGACCGAGGGCTGTGAGCTCAATGTAAGGTGTTACTGAAGAAGTTTCCAGTCACTCTTTGTGTTGGCCACAGGTAAAACACATTTGTGCAATTTGTACAGTGTCTCAGACATGCATTGTCTGATCGCCGTGCTCACATGCACCCCATTTTCCACTGCCGTTTCGATGCTGAAAAACCACCTGAGTGGAGGAATGCTTTCAATGCAAGCCCTGCTGCAGGCTGTGTGCTACCAATGTCCTTGTTTGCAATACGCAGAAATTGAGGCTTTGGTTCTTTTTTGTTTTTTGGGCTTTTTTTGCAATTGGACAGAGCTGTTCCTGACTGGAGCTCTGGTGTGCTGCTGGACCTTGGGGTTGGATGGGAACCCCCACGATGAGTTGTTCAGTTTTGGAATGAGTGGTGGAGAAATGCCCAAATCGAAGCCCTCTTTCTGCACAGATAGGAAACCGATGGGCAGAGAGCTCGAAAGGAAAATGACTTGTTTGTTCTGACCCGAGAGAGCCCCACCAATGGGCAGTGCTGGAGGGGCCTCAGCCCAGGGCTGGCAGCAGCAAAACTTTTCATCTCTCTCAGAAAAACCCAGGACCATCTGCTGCAGAAAGAGAAAACACAACCCAAAAACTCTCCTCACAGGGGCTTCTGCCTCGAAATGAGTACGTTTGCTCTTTGATGGTCAAGGAGATATTGTTCTCAGGTTGTTTTTTTTTTTCTTTTTCTTTTTTTTTTTTTTCTTTTTCACCACTCTGTTCTGTTTTTAGTGCTGGGAGGATGGTGCCGAAGAGGCTCTGCTGTCGGTCAGGGTTTGTGGTTTGGGCTGCTCCTGAGGCAGGGCAGGAAGCCCCTGGGGTGGGGGGGAGGGCTGGGGGCTGAGGTGGGGCAGCACTGGGGGCTGCAGTGGGGGACACAGCTGGGGGCTGCTCAAGCAAGAGGTGGCAATGCACCAATACTGTATGATAGCAGTGCAATTTGTTTGGAAAAACGTTGGCTGTTTCGAACAGCACATAGGAGAGCTGAGAGCATGGAGTTGTCCTGGTGTGAACTGAGAAAAATGGAGATTTTTTTTTTCCCCTCTTATTTGGTACCCCTGGGCATCAGATGGAGGTCGCTGGGCTCTGAAGGCGGCTGTTCTGCAGAGCATCCCCTGTGCTGCAGGGCTACAGCCACGCTGGCTAACACTAAGACTACCTCTCACCCATCAGAGTTTGAGGAGCACCTACAAATATGTTGGCCAAAAAAGGTGTTGCTTTGTTCTTGTTTTCACCGCCTGGCCCCATGAGCGGCCATCATGGCTGCCACACCGGGTTGCCTCAAAGGGAGAGGTGGGGAGGAGCCGCCCACCACCCACGCGGTGTTTCCGAGGTGGTGTGTTTGCCACCAGCAGTTTGTCACACGCAGAAGAAAGTTCAGCTTGAAGTGATGGCAATGGCGGAGTGGGGAGAGGGAGATGGCGGCCTCCCAAGATGGCGGCCTCCCAAGATGGCGCCTCTCAAGATGGCGGCCTCCTAAGATGGCGCCTCCCAAGGTAGCACCACATCCTGCAGTTGGCTGGCGGCAAGGGTGATGGCAGCAGGGATGGGACAAGGCCGCCCACTGTGGCACGTGCTGCTAAATTTAACGATTCTGCCGCCAGTGGGGCAGGGTGGGCAGGGGTGAGGAGGGAAGGCGCCATGTTCTTGAGGTGGAATTCAGCACTGTGGTGCCCAAATGTGGGGGTTTGGTGTGCAGTGTGCTGAGGGAAAATAGGGGGTCTGGGGGGGAAAATGTGAATTTGGTAAGGGAAAATGTGCGTCTGGTGGGGGAAAGGTCCAGGTCTGCTGAGGGAAAACGTGAATCTGCCGAGGACAAATGCAGACGTGCAAAGGAAAATGGTGAAGCAGTGCAGTTAAAGCAGGAGCTGCCCAGGGTGCAGAGGTCTCCAGCAGCTCTGGTTGTTGTGGTCGCCCTGGGCCGTGCCCACGGGGCAGGTGTGAGTGCTTGGCCCTGAACGTGGTGCCCTGTTGCGCTGCCATGGTGCCAACTGTGGGTGCTGGGGCTATGGGTGCGTGGGTGGCACTCGGCAGCCTGGATGTGCTGCAAAACAAGATGTGGTGCCTCCTCCTTCCCCCCGAGGTTGTTCTCCCCTCCTGTGGTGGAGGGTCCTACAGCTGCCGGTGGTGCCCATCAGGCTTGCAGGGACCACAGATGACGGACGCCCTTTGCTGCTGTGGCGGTTCACAGCCCTGCTGCACCCACACTTCTCACAGCCCCATGGCTGTCGCTGACATGCTGCCTGCTGGGGGCTGTTCTGAGGGACCGGGAACTGCCGCGTCCATGAGGCCTCCGAGGTGCGTGGGTTGGAATGAAGGATGCTGAGTGGGAAGGGGTGCATTGCCCCCCAGTGGGCCCTTCACCCTTAGGGTGGACCCTGAGAGCAGACTGGGCTCAGGACCACACGCAGCCTCGTGTCCCTCAGGAGGTCTGCAGGAGCCATATGCAGGCTGGTGGGCATTCCTCCATGGGGCTGAGCTGGGCTGCACGGAGGCAGCGCTCTGGGAGCAGACGATGCCCGGCGATGCTCAGCTCCCGGCCGCACGCTGCCCCAGCCCGAAGCCCCACGTCTGCCTCTCCTGTGTTTGTGCTTATGAGCTCTCCTTCCACCTACGCAAGAAGCTATTTTTAGAGGCACTAATCAAGCGCCGGCGCTGGCTGGGAGCGTGGCTTTCAAGCTGAGGGCTTCGTGCTTTCACCGTGCGCTTGCAGGAACTCGGGCAGCTGCTTTCTTTTAAATGCAGTGGAGGGTTTACACAACGCGCTGCAGAGCGATGGCAGTTATTTCGGGCTCCTCGCTGCCGAGCCCACACCAAGATGTCACCCGGAGGCTCTGTTTTGGCAGTGGCCAAACACAATGTCCCGTCTTCCTCTCCCATCCTGGCCAATGCAGAGTGGGCTCGTCTCAGCCCGCTTACTGCCAGCACAAGGATGTGGCATCGATACTTTGCATCGTGCAGGAAAGGAAAACGCTCTGTGCTCAGCACAGCCTCCTCTGACTGCCTTCTCCCTCCCACTGAGGTTTCTCTGGCCGCTGGCAGCTTCCTGCAGGCCGTTACGGACCTGCACCTCCAACAGCTCTGATGCTGCGAGAGCAGGCTGTGCTGAGTGAGATGTGCTTCGGTCTGGCTGCAGAACTGGAAGAAGAGTTGGTGCTTTTTGAGCTCGAGTGCAGCAGGATCCAAGCTGAACTTCAGCCTCCTTGCAGGAAGGAGGGATACAGCAGGATCTGGAGTGCAGTACAGCATCTCTAGCATGAGGCTGCAGGAGGAGGGAGTGGGGGAAGAGTGGTGGGTTTTCTTCCTGATGAGGTTCAGCAGGGAGACCTGCATTGGGGGGAGGTTACCCTGCCTTGCAGGAAGGTGACAACATCTCTCTGCCCCCAGGAGCTCCCAGAATGAGCAGGGCAATCCCAAAGGGTTATGATTCAGGTGGGATATTAGGAACAATTTGTTCTCCAAAAAAGCAGTGATGCAGTGGCACAGCTGCACAGAGGGTGGTGGGGCACTGACCCTGGAGGTGTCCCAGAGCTGTGGAGATGTGGCACTGAGGGTCGCAGTGGTGTGGGCTGGGGTTGGACTTGGGGATCTCAGAGGTCTTTTCCAACCATAATGACCCTATGATTCCTTTGGGGCATGACAAGCAATGGCTCCGTTCAAGAAAACCAGAGAAAAAATTTATTACTTTTTTTTTATAAAATATCTCCAATAAGTTATATAGGCAAATAGTTAAATTAAAATAAATTAACTCCACTCTATGCTGGGACACGCGGCTGTCCACAAAGTCACACTAGGATTTGTGTTTGAAAAAATATGCCCTAGATCTCTGATGAAAGATTTGAAAAAAATATATGCTTGGTGAGGAGAAAAGGAGAAATCTCTGCAATGGACAGGAGGGGTTAAGGTGCGGTGCTGAAGCTGCCTGGTGCCAGTAGCATCTCCCACCCAGCTAAGTGCTGAGAGCATCCTCATCGTCGCTCCAGTCAGGAGGAGCATCCGTCCCAAAGTACCGATCACCGAAGTTCCCTATGGGGAGAAGGGAGAGAGAAAGCTCTGGAGAGCTTGGGACTGGCCCAGCAGGCGAGGAAACAAAACCAGGTTTATCTGACAGCTTGCACTTGTGTAGCAGCAGAACTGGAGCAGCCCGGAGGCTGTTTTAGCACGCTGGGGACTGTTTTAGCATGCCATGGCAGGGGTGTTTCCTGGCACAGCAGAGGTGAGGATGGAAGGACGCAGTGAGCTTGTTGAGGACAAGCTTCCTTCAGGCAGCAGCTCACGGAATGAGGCACAGAGCTGCCCCAGCTGCCCCAGCCCAGCTTCTCCACCAGGAGAGGCAAAGGGTCCCTCAGTAAAACAAGGGCAGACTAAAACAAGGCTGAGCTGCTGACAACCAGGGCTTCACCTCATCTGGTGAGCAGGCCAGAAACACGAACATTCTTCCTCAGGTACTCACCAATGCCAGGGATGATCCGGAAGAGGTCGTTCACCTTCTTGTCCACAGCTGTGGTGATGATCTTCACCCGGGGGAAGGCGTAGGCGACCGAGTGGACACCCATCTCTGCCATCAGCAGGGAGAGGAGGAAGATCTTGTCTTCTGGGACATCATGATCCTGCAGGAATGGCACAGAGCGTGTGGGATGAGATGTGGTATGGACCTTACTCTGGCACTCAGAGCACTCGAGAACCTTCCTGGAGCCACTTTTTCTCCCTGGGTGCAGGGTTTGATGGGTTTAAGCCCAACGAACCACCTAAATTGAAGCTGTTACTATCCTAGGAAGGGCTTTGTCAACGCCTTGGAGACATTCCAGCTCTTGCTGTGACCCTCAACACCCCCCTTTGGGAGGCTCAGCGTTAATGCAAGGCCCTCAGCAGGGCTTTTGTACACTGCTTGAGGCAAAACCCCCCTCTGGCCCCCATCCACCCGACACCCTCCGTACCAGCAGCACCCGCACAGCCATCATGGCTGCAGCTCCCGTGGAGACCGTGCAGTCCATCAGGATGACGTGGTCCTCACTGATGTCCTTTGGCAGCCGCAGGTAGTGGAGCTGGGCAAGGGGAGAGAGGGATCAGCTCAGGGCACTGCACAGCACTCTGTCCTCGTGTAGAATGGAGGCAACAAAGCAATTCCAGCTCATCTTTAGGAGGAGGGAAGGATCTTTCCATGTCCCCACCACTGCAATCTGAGCTGTTAGCCTGGGGCCAGGCACCAGTGCAGACACCAAACCAGCCCTGTGTGCACACATACACTGACAAAACCTACTTCAGCCAACCCCACGTGCATGCCCATGGGCAGGAGATGCCATACCTCCGGCTCGCCCGTGTTGCAGTTGGTCTGAATGAGAATGGTCCCGATGCGGACGTCCTTGCAGACAGCTCGCAGTGCTGGCTCCATGGTCTCACCTGCCCGCAGGATGGACACCCCGGTGATCTGCAGTGAGAGGGCAGGTGGGGGCACATAGCATTCGGTTTCAAAAGGGCAACCCCAAAGTGCATCCCCTCCAGCACAGGCTTGTGCTGCACATCAGTGGCACTGGTGGCATCCTTGCCCCATTGACACAAGGTACCAAACTCAGGCTTGGTAGGAACCCCAAGATGCCTGTAGTGTTCTTCTGTGCATGCAGAGGGCTTTTAGTGAAGCCCAACACAGAAGTTTGAAAATAACACCTTTTGCTCCCACTTACTTGCTTCCCACTGTATGTCCTCCCTTCGTAGTCCTGTCCCTGGGGAGTCTGAACAGTGCAGCTCTGCAAAAACCCCATGAGAAGCATTACCACAGTGGCTCTCAGTGAGCCCTGCTGCCAGACAGCCAGGTAGGGGGCTGGTCAGGAAAGCTGACCAGCGCGTAGAAGCTGAGGTTGGACAAAATCTCATCACTAGGTGCAGCCTTGAACCCACCTGGAAAGGGAGAAACGAGAGTGCGTGCTCAATCAGCAACCGCATCAGCCTCTTGGAGTAGAAAATGAACTCGTCCCTGCTGGTCTCCTTGTTTCTGAAAGGCAATGAGCAGAACTCTTGGGACTCGGAAGCCCAAAGCCAGCTGAGCCCACCCAGCCAAGCCCCCTCTTCGCCCCAGCAGCCGCGGTGCCACGCCATTACCTGATGATGGTGTGCATGCCCCGCACCTGAGGGGTGCTCTTCAGCACGCTGAGGGTCTGCGGAAGGGGGTGGTACTGATGGGCAGAGGCCAGGGCGGCCCTGAAACCAAACACAGGGTCAGGAGGGCTCCGGGGAGGTGCCTGAAGGCCGGGGCACAGCACACGGCCGGAGCCATTCTCCCAGATGTCAGCTCTCAACACAACCCAAAGCCACGTGGCCGAGCCCAGTGAGCAGCCAGCCCTGCCCAGGACCTTCTGAAGGGGCAGGGAAGGGGCGGTCGGTGCAGCCCCAGGACGTGCCCTCCCTGCTGGGTCAGTGAGCCACGGCCGACCCACTGTGGCTGAATTTCAATGGAAAACAATATGAAAACTTCCCCCTGCTCAGGAAGAGGACTTGGCGGTGGGTCCCCCCACTCGGTGGGTGAGGAAGGGCCATCACAGCAGTCTCTGCCCCACAGGACAAGGGCTGGGTGTGAGGCAGGAGCTCAGCGCTGTGATGCCATCCCCATTTCCCCCAGTGCTGCAGTGGCGGGCTGCAGTAAGGCTGCTTCAGAGCACATCCGGCCCATTCAGGGCTGGTTGCAGCGATGCCAAATTGGGAACAGCTTCAAGACTTTGCTGCTGGACGGGGCTGGCTTTGTGTGAGTCATCTCCATATAACTAATAGGGTTGGGAGCTATTCTTGGATCAAGGGAACACCGTTCACGGGGAAGCGCACAATGGGGCCCCATTAGTCACCTCTCTACTTGAGAGCGGCAGTAACGAGATGAAGGTCACATCTCTTTGGCTTCCATGGGGCTGGGCAGGATGGGCAAGTGCCTTTGTCTGGGAGGAGGGCTGGGGTCACAAAGCCACGCATCAGACCACAAATGTGCCATGGCCACAGCTGGGCAGGGAGATGGTGGGGAGGGGGAGAAGGGAGCCAACAGATGGAAGCGGCAGATGAGTAAGATTTCAAACCAAGCAGAAACCTGCGTTAATTGCACACAAACAGGCACACAAGCAGAGAGGAAGAGAAAAATGACTGGGTAGGAACGGAGGAGGGCAGGGCGCGATGGCGTGAGGCCTCCAGCCACCACGGAATTACAGAATGGTCCAAGTTGGAAGGGACCTTTAATGGCCATCTGATCCAACTCGCCTGCAATGAACAGGGACACCTGCAGCTCGATCAGGTTGGTCTTGGCCAACCAAGGCCAAAATGGGACATTCCCAAGGCCTGGGGGTACATCAGGGCTCCTTCTGGCCAGCAGCCCCCCAGTGCCCCGCACCAGCCCAGCGAGCTCACTCCGTTAGTCACCAGAACTCAGGTTAGCTGCCCTCAGAGCTATGCCCACACCATGACCGCGCCGCAGCAGCACCGCGTGGCTCTGCCCCCTCCTTCCTGCCACCAACCCCAGACTGGGGACGGGTCCTGGGGACACAGACACCACCCACAGCCCTGCCTGACCCCTCTGGCCCTGGGGATGCTGACCCACATGGTGTGAGCCATTGTGCAAGGAGCTGATCCCTGCCTTTGGCAGATGCGGGTGCCTGCTCCCAGTGCAGAGCCCGTATGCTCTCTCATCCCAAATTGCTGTCCCAAAACCCAGCACAGCCCAGGGCATTGGGGCACGTCCCTGAATTTGCAGCCTCTCCCCCCGTCACCGCCACCCCATGCAGGAGGGCAGCTCCATGTGCCCTGAGACCCAGCTCCTGCTCCCACCTTCCCACTTCCTGCAGCAGCCCCAGAACACCTCCCCTGCATCTCGAGCTGTCAGCAACCCTGGGGGAATGCTGTCAGCAGCTCCTCACTGCACCTTCTGCACCTCCTGCAACCCCCGCGCGGGGCTGGGTGGGGGATGCAGCCCTGCTTCTTGGGATGCTGTTCAGCACCATCACTTTCAGGGATGAAGAAAGAGACTTTCGGGTCCCTCCCACCCTATTTTGATCTGTGAAGCCCCAGAGAAGCAGGACCCCATGTGCAGCCCAGGTTAGTAGCACGCTCACGCTGCACGGCCCTGGCCCCAGCCATGCTGTTAGTGTCACACCCCGAACGCTGCCAGCAGTGGAGGTCTCCTCACATATCCCAGCGTAGCTTCCTCTGGTCACCAGGTGGGAGGGACATTCGGGGAGACAAGACGGGAGACACCAGAGTTTTTAAGGGAGAGGGACAAACAGGACATGAAATAAAGGAAAAAGCACTGGCATTAGTCAAAGGGGGGAAAAAAAAGTCCCAGTGGATCAGTGGTTCTTGGAGCTGCCCAGGAATGGCCGTCTCCATACAGACCCCAACGCCCCTTCCGGGGTGACCAAACCATGTCACCTCTGCTCCCCAAAGCACCAGTTCAGCTCCATGCTGAGCCCCATCTGTCACCGCAGGGACACTGTCACACCTCGGTCCCATCCAGCACCATACTGCAGGGCTGCCTGATGCCTCCAGAGCCATCGAGCCCCACAATCCCAAAGCACGTGCAGGAGCTGAAGCCTGCACAACCTCCACCCAGTGTGCACACAGTGGTGCCCACCTCCTGCAGCCTCGGTGACACCGTAAAGCCCAGAGCAATGGGAACAGTAGGAGAAACCCAGCCCTGAGCTGAGCATCACCAGCAGCTGGGAGGACCTCCAAGGCCTCCCCTGGACCAGATATCCACGTAGGGGGCTCACACACCATACATGGACACGGGCACAGCAGGTCATGCAGCCACCAGTGATGCTCCCACCCTCTCCCCAGTGAGGCGGCGGAGCATTCAGACAGGCAGCCATGAGCACGTCAAGAAGACATCATCTCACTTTGGAAACTTATTTTTTCCCCCCGGAACAAAAGGTTTGAAAGGAAAAAAAAAAAAAAAAAGAAAAAAAAAAGGAAGAAGAAAAAGAAGGAGAAAGGAGAGAAGAGGGGTGGCCATCACTCAGGAAGGCTTCAGGGAACATCCTTGGCTCTTTGTTGAGCATGCTATCAAACAGGAAGCAGACAAGAGACATCCAGCTACAAAGGAGTGATGCAGTCAAGGCATTTCAAATACGTGCAGCGGCTGGCTTTCACAGCTGACATTTCAAACAAGGGCTATCAGACTGCACCACGGGCTGATATTTAAAGACACAATTGGCAAAGGTCATGCCAAGCTGATCCAGACCTTGGGAGAGGAGGGGGGGATCGATCGGCGAGGGAAAGTCAGCTGAAACGAGCAGAGGCTCCCTGAGCCAGGCTGATTGCTAAAATGGGACAGCAAACAGGCTGCAGGTGCTGCTGTGCACCTGGCATGGTGCAAAGGGTGGGTAACCACAGCTCCAGCACACGTGTGGTTAAATAAGGGGGGCTGGGTGGGATGCAATGACCCCAAGACCTGAGCTTCACCCTGAGAGGATGCAGAGCAAAGTGGAGGCTGCCAGTGGTGGGGAACAACCCATGGATCTGGGGCACTGCTCTCTTTAACCTCCTCAGAATTCACTCACTGCGCAGAATCATAGAATGGTTGGGTTGGAAGGGACCTTAACAACCACACAATCATGGCATTGCAGAATGGCTGACTTGGAACAGACCTTAAAGCCCACCCAACTCCAACCACTCTCATGGACAGGGACACCTCCCATAGACCAGGCTGCACAGGGTCCATTCATGGCTGTGGGCACCTCCAGGGATGGGGCACCCACAGCTCTCTGGGCAGCAGAGTCAGAGCCACACCACCTCACCATGAAGCATCTGAGGCCAGGCAGTGGCACACCAACCTGGCACATGGGAAACAGGAGGACACCTTGAGCTGGGGCCAGGTCTGAGCATCCAGGTTCTGTTCAATGGCCTGGCTGTGTCCCCACAGCCAAGAGACAGCGACACCCACCCGCACTCCAGGAGCATCAATGGATTTTCACAGGATGTATTTTCCAGATTTTCTGGCACAGGAATAAATGGGAACCAGGAGGCACTGAACTTAAACACTTAAAGATTTCCATGGCTGTGGTTATCATGGAGGTACCTCTGAAGGTCAAAGTCACTTCCTCAGCTGGCTGTCACTGCACTGCTCACACTGACATACTGCTCCATACGTGGGCTTTAGGGAGCACAAGAAGTGCAAAGATCACTTCTACTGAGGGCCAGCTTTGATTAAAGCAGAGAATCAGTGGAGAGAAAGGAAATTTGATACGGGTATGTCTTTCTATACATACATGTATATACATATGCTGCAGAGCAGCTTCCCACCTGAACCTCCAGGCACATGGGGGGCTTACATGGCACTGCATGGAAATGCCAGGCCCCACGGTGTCCAATGAGCAAGCAAAAAGAAATAAAATAAACCACCCAATCGCTCAGTCTGGGAAACAAATGGCTTGAGCAGAAGTAAAGAAGAGACCCTTTTCCTGCTCATCTTTCTTATTTTGAAAGCTTTTGTGTGCCAAAGTTAAGTTTTTGGGTTATTTCCCTAAGTGTCTCCATATAACAGTGAAGATCTAAATGGAAACCCGAGCAGTAACATGCTGCTCTGCCTCCTACACGAATACCTGTGAACCCAGCTGACTGCCTAATGGAAACATGGCCCATCTGGATCCAAACACTGGAAGGGAAGTAAATGGCTGCATGCTTTAGAGCATCCACCAGGGTTTGGAAGGTGGGTCAGAACGTTTGTCTTATGGAAGGGCAATAGGAGCTGATGTCTGAACACAGAGTGCTGCTGCAGAGCCTCTCCCATGACCAGGGACGGGGTGGCCTTACAGGTGGCCTTACACCTGCCTGCAGGTCAGGGTTTGGCCAAGCAGTGCCTGGCATTGGAAATGCCTCGGGCTGCACGGACAGGACAGAGTTAGGGGCTCTTACCTGACACTGAGTTCACGCTGCGGCAGCAACACAAAGACACAATGCAACCGGTATTAAGCATTGCCAACACCAGGGGCGTTTCAAGACAAAAGAAAAGGAAAAATAGGAATATTTTCCTGCATTCACATGTAGTTTTTTTTCCCCTTCTTCCCCTCCCCAAAGAAACGTTAAGCCCCGGCCAAGCCCTTGCTCTGGGCAGGAGCTGCCGTGTTTGCTGGCTGCAGAACTCCCAGGGCTCTGGGCTGAGCTCTGTGTCCTAGAAGCAGGGTTTAGATTCACAGAATCACAGAATTGCCAGGGTTGGAAGGGACCTCAAGGATCATGAATCTCCAACCCCCCTGCCACTGCCAGAGTGTATTGCTGTGAACTGGGGAAGCCAGAAAGCCCTGGCTGCAGGGAGTGGGCGCCCAAGGGAAGCTCCCACCGTGCTGTAGCACAGGAGCAGCCGGCCCTGGGGCTGCACGGAGCTCATCTGGGGCTCAGGAACGTCTGCAGGAATTGAGCCCTTTACTTATAAAGCCATCAATGTCCCAGGGCATCGCCCTGAGCATCGTCACAGCTTCAACATCAAAGCTACGAGTAGGGTGGGAGGAAGCTGCGTGGCTCAGGGATGGCAACACATAACTGTGTCCTTTGGCGGATGGGTCCCAGGCTCAAGGCTCAGAACCATACAATATATGACTCTCTGTGGTCAGCAGTAGGGAAGGACATGGCTCAGGCTGCAAGTAAGCTGTGGCAAAGCTTTGGGATTCACACTCATGGGCTGCACCCAGCACTGAAGTGGAAAACAGAGCTCTGGACTGGGAATGCTGCAGCAATGGCTGCAGGCGGTGAAGAGGAGAAGCCAGAGCCAGAGCGCAGAGGTGTTGGAGCCAGGCAGGATGCTTTGTCCCTGCATGGCTTGCTGCCCCCAGGGCACTGCAGTGTGTGAGGTGGGTTTGTTCCCAGCGGAGCACTGGGACACAGAGAAGCAAGGCACAGAGCAGTTCATGGGGCCGGAGCCAGGACATACCTCCTCCAGCTGGCTGTGCACGTGCTGGACGATCAGATCAATGGCCACTGTGTTTCCACTCCCTGGAGTGAAACAAAACCAGAAATAAACAGTGAGGTGTGGCCACAGTGTCAGCCTCCCTGCCCTGCTGCAGAATCCAGAACCTGCTCTTGTTAAACTCCATGCAGTTGATGACTGCCCAGCTCTCCAATCTGTCTACATCTCTCTGCAAGGCCTCTCCACTCTAAATGGGGTCAACAGCTCCTAATTTAGTGCTGTCCCTGCAGGTGTTCCAGAGCTGTGGAGATGTGGCACTGAGGGATAGGGTCAGTGGGCACGGTGGGGTGAGGTTGGACTCAGGGATTTGAGAGGTCTTTTCCAACATTAATGATCCCATGCTTGTCAGCAAGCTTGTCCACAACGCCTTCTATCCCTACATCCAATCACTGATGAAAACATTAAAGAGAACTGAGCCTAAAACAGAGCCCTGACAGAACCATTTAGCATAAGGACGTGGGGTACCTCGAGGCACGACGATGTCAGCCAGCCGCATGGTGGGCTGGATGTACTGGTCAAAGGCAGGCTTCACAAACTTGTTGTACTGCTTGATGACTCCCTCGATGTCACGGCCGCGCTCACTGATGTCCCTGCGCAGGCGGCGCACCAAGCGGATGTCCGAGTCCGTGTCCACAAAGATCTTCAGGTCGAGGAGCTGGAAGGAGAGCAGTGGGAACAAACCACACCAGCTGAAGCTCCAGCCAACCCCAAAACCCGTCCAGCTCCAGGACACACCTCCACCCACACGCAGCCCCAGCACTTTGGGGGATGTCGTTTCAGGGGGCTGGGATGCCCTTGGTTGAAGGATGTGTGGAAAGAGCTGCTTGGGGATGCACTCAGCTGTCCACTGGAGGTCATCGTTGCTCCAGGAAAGTGCAGTGCAAACGCGCCCTTGGCAGGGAAGGGAACTTCCTAGACTGAGCTTGGCTATGCTTGTGCATGGCTATGAGCCTATAGGGTTCTCATGCAGCCAAGCACTTCTCAGGAATGCCTGAAGTGCTGGACGAGGTCAGCCTGGGAACACCAGGCTCAGCAGAGCATGGCTGCAGCCAGCTTTGCGGCAAGCTGAGCCGGGCAGCACGGAGGTACTTCTGGTCATGTTGATACACCTTTGCAGCCAAGGACCAGCTCACAACTTGGCTCCAAATTCCTGGGAAGGAATGGCTGAGGCATGGCCCTGTGCTCTACGTCTGCCTGGGGCTCCTCCCCTGCTGTGGAACATCAGGATGGGGCATGCAGGGTGGGCATGCAGGCGATGGTGATGCAGCGTGAGAGGACAGTGCACCCAGTGCCCCCACTGCAACCAGGACACCCATTGCAACTGGTACACTCAATACACCCACTGCAACCAGTATTGCAACCAGTATAGTCAGGGCAAGATATACACCCAGCATACCCACTGCAGCCAGCAAAGCCCGGGCTGCAGGATAGGGCTGCCTCACCTTCAGCAGCTCCTTGTCCGCGAATGCCATGATACCTTCAAAAATAATCACATTGGCACCATAGAGGGTTTTCTGCAGAGGCAAAAATCGATGTGGTTGGATAGAGAATGTGTGGAGAGATACCACACTCCAGGGAAAATGATAACACAATGAATGATCAGCTCCTCTATTTCTTGTGCTTTGGAATCACTTGTAGGACTCAAAGAGCTCTGTGACACAGGCACAACCCATAGGTTTTCTCTTCTGTGCAGCCCGCTGCCCTTGCAATCTGCTGGCAGGCTGTACAGAGCTGGCAGCCCCCCACCTCATCCCATGCCCCTCGATGTCCCATACCCATTCCTTCTTCCGGCTGTGGGTGGTGAAGTCGTAGATGGGGATCTTCACACTCTTGCCTTGCTTCAGCTTCTTCAGGGTGGCGATGATGAGGTCAAAGTCAAAGGCATCGGGGTGGTCAAAGTTGAAGTCATTGCTGGCTGCCTGCTCCTGTTGCTGCTTGGTCAGCACCTGGCCCCAAAGATGGGTCAGTGAGCGGCCATCCACTCTGCAGCCCCAGATCACCATCGCCCCACTGCTGTGCCACGTCTCCTCCTGCCCCAATGCCACGGGGCCAGGGAAAAGCAGGAGGATGCCGCCTCATCCCCACCACGTTTCCGCATAGGGCTGCGCAGCCTCACCTTGTAGAAGGAATCCATGGAGAGCAGAACCACCCAAGGGACATCCAGAGCCTCGATGATCATGGTGGCCACCGTGGTCTTCCCAGAGGCGCTGCCCCCTCCCAGACCTGCCAGAAAGAAGGGATGGGGCCACAGAGCCCTGACCTGCCTCCAAGGCCAGCTCCACCTCACTGATCACAGAATGCCTTGCATTGGAAAGGACCTTAAAGACAATTCAGCTCCAACCCGCTTGGACTGGATGATCATCTCCAACCATCACGACTCCGTGACTCCACAATTCTGAGGCTGTGGGAGCATGGCGATAGCAGGAACCCTCCCAGGCTCCCCCAGCAGCACCAACAGCCCAACAGTGGTGGGACGCAGCCACCCATGCCCACCTATGACAAAGGCCTCCTTGGACTGCGTGCCGTGCTCATTGTACCAGGGCGGCCGCCCGGCGGTGTAGATGGTCCTTTTGCTGGTGCGCAGCAGCGGGGGCTCCGACTTGCACTGGCTGGTGGTCCGTTTTCGGGGTGGCTTGGAGGAGCCCACCGCCGGGTACAGCCGGTCCAGCGACTCGGCGCTGCTGTTGCTGGGGAGAGAGAAGGAGCAGTGGGTTGAACGAGCACGGCAACCCCACCTGCAGCCCTCCAACTCTGCCCAAATCTCATCCTATATAGGGCTGAGACCCTTCAGGACCATCCCATGAGGCTTCCCAGCACCAGGCAGTGGGGCTGCAGGCAGGAACGCCCCTCCTGGGGCTGCGTTGCTGTGCGGGCTGCAGCTGCTGAGAGCTCCCTCTTATCTGCATCAGGAGGGAGAGGAGCAAATGGAGCCCAGGGCTGGCACTTGGCAGCAGGACACGGCGGCTGCGAGGTGATAAGGGCAGGAGATAAGCTGTGTGTGCGTGGCCATGGCAGAGTGATCGACACCCAGAGCCAGAGCTGCTTGTCCTGCTTCTCCAAAGCCAGCATTGAAAAACCAGTCTTTTTCCCCCCCAAACACCCATGGGACACAGAGGTGGGATTGGGTAGGGACAATATTTCTATGTCCGAGAGCTCCGGTGCCAATAAGTACAGCTTGGCTGGGGCTTTGCTGCCTCTCAGTTCTGTTTTGCTCTTCAGAGGGCTTAAACTGCAGGGTTTTGCAGATTTTGTTGGATTTTAAGCTGTTTCAGCATTCAGATTAGTTCCCTTCCCTCCCACGGCCCTTTTTAGAATAATGCTAGATAATGACCAAAATTTCAGACCGGCCATCTGTGTGTAAAGCTGCCCAGTGTTTCCACTGCAACCAGGGCATCCACTGCACCCAGTGCAACCCAGCCCCCTCCAGCACAGGAGCTCTCAACCACCACCAGCATTACCCAATCAGCACCTTCTGCTCAGAGCTGCATCCCTGCCAGCCCCCAGCTTGCCCCCAGCCCATGAATACCCCAATGATCCCAGGATGGCAGTGGCACAAGTGCTGCTCATGCTGCCCCATCCCGCAGTGCTGCAGGGCTGCCATCCACGTGCAGTGTGCTCCTGGACCCAGGGAGCCCTAATCCTATTTCCAGAGCCTCTCTGCTTTGCCTCATCTCACCCGCACCCTTATTGACTTCTATGTAAATTCTGCACTCCGCCTCTCAAACCAACGTTCCCATGATTTATCTCAGATAAACAGCACTGAGCGACCGCTTCGGAGCTCTGCAAAGGTCACAAATTCCCTGCGTGGCCTCAGGGCTGCCCCGACCACCTCCTGCTCCTCTCCACTCCCCATTTCCTCCTGTCCCTTCCCACCACTCAGGGCTGCACTCCTGACCCGGTGCAGAGCCCTGGGCCCTATTAATAGCAGTGCCCACAGCGCTGCTCTGTGCACCGTGTGGATCCTGCAGGAGGGCTGCAGCGAGGGCAGTGCTGTCCTTGTCCCACACACAGCCCTGTGGGGCCCTTCGCTCCGAGCAGCATGACAGCAGGACAAGGTAAACCCAAATGGAAACGTCACCCGGGGTGGGGAACCCTCCTGCAGAGCCCTGCTTGGGGCTTTGGGCACCCCGACCTCCTCTTGGGGTTGGGGATCCTCTGCTGCCCCCACTGCCCGTGCATCCCCTTTATTTGCTTAGAGAGCCCCATGGTGTTGGAGGGTCCCTTGTGCCCCAATGCCCACTCCCCTCTTCTTGGGAAAAACCCTTAACCCTAACCTCAAACCCACCCCATAAAAGGGAGCTCACCTGCCCGCGGGTGCCAGGGCTCGGCAGCCTGAGAAGCGGACGCTGCCGTAGGTGGGGGGGCTGCTCATGGCTGGGGGCTCGGTGCTGCTCGGTGGGGATGAGCCATGCAGGGATGGCCACAAGTAGTGCGGGGGGGCCGGAGCCAGGCAGCACGGGAGGGGAGGGGGAAACGGCGCCGGGACGGGAGGTGCTGGGAGCTCAGCGTGCATAAGAGGATAGCTTAGCACTGAGATTATGTTCATTACCTGATATTAATAGCACTGGCTTGATTAAAGAAAAAAACAAGGGGAGGGGGGGGCAAGGGTGACACCTCCTCTCGGCAGATAAACAACCAACTGCTGGACAGTGGCTGTTTTGGCTGCATCGGGCACTCAGAGCACGGGGCTGCTCAGCACGGTGAGCGTGGGGCCGGGGGGGTCCTGGGGTGGGGATGGAGAGGGGGCACTGGGGGGGCTCTGAGCCTCCCACAGCCCACGGCGTCCGGCTCGGAGCCCCTCCGGCTCCATGGGAAGAGCCACAGCAGTAAACAAGTGCGAAACTCAACACCGGCACTAAGAATAACGCTGCTCGGTCGGGTCCCGGCCGCCCGCTACCGCCCCTCCCCTTCCCCCCCCTCCCGGCATTTCGGCAGCTCTCAGCCCAACGCAGGGGTTGGGGACCCAAAGGTTCGTTCTGCAGTGCTCGAGAATGCAGTGCTACGCCAGGTGACAGCGGGTACAGCTTTGGGGACGCATTCCTAGTCATTTAATCACCCCCTGCACGGGCAGGTGACAGCTCCGAGGGGCAATGCAGGCACCGGGCAGGGGAAGGTTTGGAGATGGGGCAGGACCTTCCTCCTCCTCCTCCTCCTCCTTTGGGGACATGGGGACCCTGCTGTCCCCGTGCACAGTGCTGTAGGACAGTGCCAATGCCACGTGCAGCACGGGATGAGCGCGGGACTCCAGCAGTGCCGGCACGGTGCTGGGAAATATGGGGACAGCGGGACCCGGGGGTGCATCACCAGCGCCGCAGCCCTGCAGCCAACTCCCCTTCCTGCTCTGGGAAAGCACACTCAGAAGCTTAAGAATAAAATTCCCTTCCGCAGCGATTTCTATTCTTTCCCAAAACAAAAAAAAAAGAAAGGGATCAGAAACCGGAACGCAGCCGTCCTTGCCCACGTGCCATCGTCCCTCATCGCGCAGCCGGTGCTTCTCCTGCCTTCGTCCGACAGGGCGCAGCACAGCCCGCATCTCACCTCGCGCTCTCAGCTCCCGTGCGGGATGAACGGCTCGGGATTTCATCTTTTCCTACCAGAAGGTTTCTAAGATCCCACCCGTGGCCTCGGGACACAAGGATGGGCCGCAGGAGCGGAGGGCTCGGGCTAAAGAAGAACTGAGATCGTCGCAGGGGGAAGAGATGGGGATGCCCTGAGAGGTGCGGGATGCGGGGCTCTGTGCGGGACGTGGGACTCCGCTTCTCCCCGGGAGCTCAGCGCTGCTCCGGACCCTTCTCGTGCCCCGCACCGCTGCTCAGCGGCCGCACCGCAGCCCGGCGGTGGGAGGCGATCACCGCCACGCTCCCCACGGCCGCCACCCGTCCCAGCGGAGCAGCCCACGGCCGCTGCGTCACAGCGGGGCTCACGGGAACGGCGGAACCACGCACCGCCGGACCGCGCAGCCCCACCCGCACCGGCGGCCCCATCCACGGCCCGGGACACCCGCAGGGTCGCCACCCACAGCCCCGCCCCGCGGGATGAGCGCAGGACGGGCCCCCGATCCCCCCGGCGCTGACTCAGAGCCCGACCCACCCGGGGACGCGTTCGGCTCCGCGCGGAGCTGCGCGTTGGCGGTAGAAGCGCGGATCCATCCGGCCCCGCACCGCGCCCCGCATCGCCCCGCACCGCCCGTACCTCGCGTCCGCCGCCGGGGCCGCCTCGGCCGCCGGGGCCGCGGCCATAGCGCTGCCGGGAGAGGCCGGGCGGGAGGTGCGGAACGGGGCCGGGAGGGGCGGAGCTGCCGCGGGGATCTCCGGGACTTGTAGTGCGGGAGGAGGATGCGGGGACGGGCGGCTGCCGCGGGCATGCAGAGGTGCGGTGAGGCTCCGGTGGGTGTCGTGGGCACAGGTTGGTGCTCAAGGGGTCGGAGACGGGGTGGGCGGAACCGGGGATGCTGATGCGTGCCTTCCCACCTGGGAGCCCCGCAGAATCATTGAATCATAAAATGGCCTGGGTTGCAAAGGACCACAACGATCGTCTCGTTTCAACCCCCTGCTATGTGCAGGGTCACCAACCAGCAAACCAGGCTGCCCAGAGCCACGTCCAGCCCGGCCCTGAATGCCTGCAGGGATGGGGCATCCACAGCCTCCTTGGGCAGGGCTCCTCCGGGATAACTCAGTGCTAAAAGCAGAGCGAACACGAGGAAGGAAACCCCCCTTGCAAAGCTCCACCTCATCGCAGATGTCATCACCCAGCAAACGACGACGATGACCACAATAAAAAATCAATAAACATTTATTCGATACAGCTGCTTTTCATACATACAGTACATGGAGTGCTCCCTCCCCGGCGCTGATAGCTGCGTGCTGCGGTGCTCTGCAGCTGAGGATTTGTCAATGATTAACAAAAGAACGGATCTGCACAAATCGGGAGTTCATTATAAGATAGTTTACTGTTAAAACAGATTTTTTTTTCTTTTTTTTTTTTGCAAATAAACACTTTTTTTTTTAATATATATATTTATATATTTATATATATGGTTACAAGTGATAAATTGAAAATTCTTAATTTTTTTTTTTTAATTTTTTTTTTTTTTTTTTTTCCCCAAAATACACTTAATGCACTAATAACTGGCATCGACTGACAGAGACATTCGGGTATGCCGTGGGATGGGTGCTGTGAGGAGAGAAAGGAAGGAGCAGAACGGGCCCAGCGTTGATGGGCGGAGGGGGACAGTGCAGCTGGGGGGGCCTGGGGAGCAGGGCTATGGCACCATGGGGATGGGGGGGCTCCTTCCTGCCCCCCCTGTGCTGTCAGTGCTCCATGGCGTGGGTACCGCCGGTGCTGGGTGCTGTCGGAGCCCTTGCTGGGGTGGGCTGTGTGGAGGGATGGGTCCCAGCCCCACGCACGCAGGTGTAGCCCTTATCCTGAGTGATGTGCGGCTGTGGGAGGTGTGAAGATGAGTTTTGGTGGTGCTGCAGGTGCAGGATGTGGGGCTGTGGTGCCCAGGAGCAGGGGATTCCAGCGGGAAGGGGATAAGGAGATGCCGAGCTCACCGTATCACACCGATCTCAGCCCTGGCTGCTGGTGCTGCCCCAGAGCACACAGCCAGCACCAACCCAGTGCTGCTTTGGAATGGGAAATCAAGGTGCTCAGAGCAAAGCAAAGAGAAGCAAAACGTTTCTCTGCATTACTAGGATGGGGCTGGGGCAGACCTGGGCACAAGGGATGTGTGCTCGCTCTGCCCCAAAGCTCCCAGCTGCCTCCAAACCCAGCCCTGCCCATTACTGCTTGGGGAGGAGCACCTCCCTGCACTTCTATGATCACTCATAGGTTGGTTTTCCTTTTTTTTTTTTTTTTTTTTTTCCTCAACTGTTATTAAGAAAGCAGTGGGAGAACACATTCCTCACTGAATAATGACGACTGGGGGAAAAAATACCTCCTAAGGGGAAAAACTCCAACTCTGCAGAGTTCAATTCCTCATAAAAATGTTCCCTTTCCCCAGGGATCCATTTTCACACGGGGCTCAGAGGTGCTCCCCAGCCAGCTGCAGGCTGGGAGCACAGCCTGGTGCCAGGAGCACTGTCCCCATACCCCAACCCATCCCCAGCTCCCCTCTATCAGAGCACCCTGCAGGGCAGCACGCCGTCCCTGCTCACCTCCCCCCCCCCTTTTTTTTGCTCAGCTCTTTTTCTGCTGCTGTCCCCATCTGCAGCAATGCATCGGTGGGAAAGGATGTGAGCCGTTCCCAAGCAGGGGATGGTGCCGAGATGGGCTGTGAAGAGCAGCGAAGGAAACCGAGGGCTGAGATTTCAATCGAACAAAGTAAAAGCAGAACCTCTCCTCCCTCAAAGGTCGCCTTCCTGAGCCCCGTTATGGGGAAGAATGCAGGAAAACCAGAATTAAGGTTTTCTGCTCTGTTACCAAGAGAAAACCACAGCGAGATGTGTCCACAACCCAGGGATAGAAGTAGCCTGGTTCTTGTCTGCGCAGACACATCTCGGTCTGGGGCGCTTCCTCCAAGCCAGGTGCCACAATGACACCAGTGTGGGAATACAGACACAAAATAAAGCGAGGACGGCAGAATGCCCTGCAGTGACCCTGCCCCAAGGCTCGGCTTGCAACGTGCCCAGCAGTGGGGACTCACCCGAAAGCAGGACCCATGATTGTCACTTGATGCTGACCCCGTGTCCCCATTGCACACTGCCCGCAGCCCAGCACAGGACTGGGTGACCAAACACCCGCTCCCCCAATCCCAAATCAGCATCTTTGGGATGGGCAAGGGATGAGGACCCCCCAAGTGCCCTCAGGCACTGCTCTGTCCCACCGCACGCCCTTCCATCCCTCACCCTCACCACGCTCACATCATTCTGCAACTTTCAGTTAAACCCACAAACCGGACCCGTCCTGCAGCAACCCCTCTCCCATCAACTCTAGCACCCGGGCACCGTCCCCTCCTTGTGCCACCACAAAAACCCTGCACCACACACATCTCAAGGCATGTCCCTGCTGATGCACAGCTCCATGCAGCCCAATGCTACAGCAAAAAGTGCCACCCAATGTCTGCTGCCAGGCCTTGCTGTCCCCTGTCCCTTCCCACCTCTCAAGGCTGCCTGCACCGGACGAGCATCATTGGGAACACCGTCCTGGGAGGCTGCAGCCATGGGGGTCCAAGAGCAGGTGGGGGTCCAATGCGGCTCTGCTGCTATTGCACTTTTCTTTTGCTCAAGCATCACCAGTTTTGCGCAGAGGTGGAAGGGAAATCATGTCAGGGGGGACGTTAGCAGGGCCCCCCCGGGCATGGGCACAGCCTCAGGAGTATGTACATGGGCAGAGGGGGCGAGAGTGGTCCAGCTTGCTCAATCCTGTTTGTTTTCCAGTGTGAAACAAGGTCCATGATTTGCTTAAAGTGGTTAATTGGTATTTTCTGTCTTTTTTTTTTTTT